ATCCTCAAATTGCAAATAAATGTTATCATTTATCAACCTAACACATTACTCAATATATCTTCTGCACCACTGTTCATACTTATCGGTGGTGTCATTTAATATTCCTTTCTGATTTAGAAAACTATTTCCTCTGGTGCCTGACCCTTGTAATGGAAAACTACTGAAAACAGACAGTAGCTAATTCACAAATTTTATAATTTAGAGCTAAGCAGATCTGGAGACAGTACTGAAATGATCTAATATTCATTTTTCAGTGGGTCTCTTCCCAGGTTGGAAATATTGCAGGCTTTTGAGATAAAAGTTTCATTTAAGGACATTCAGACTGTGCAAAATGCAGTAAGATCTTTTATATTAAGTAAAATCATGGAAATGATTACTCACTGCCCAGATAATGAGATCTATTTTCTCATTTGTGCAAACAGAGAACTGTGGACACTCCCAACTGCAGACACAAAACCTCTCCACCTCACCATATGGGTGATTTCAGAATCTTGCAATCCCTGCCAGGAAAAGAATGAGGAAGGGGGAGCTGCCAAGCACACCTGTAACAGCCCACCTCCATCTCCATACAACCAGATGGGAAGCAGCTCTAACAGCCCCACGGGCAATTCTTGGTAGGTCCTTTCTTCTATCCCAATCTCATTCCCCACAAAATGCATCCTCTTAGTGTTCCCTGCAGACTTTTCTGCCTAGCAGATCCAGAGACCTTTCTCTGACACTTATCCATTCCAGAATTGAATTATCCAGATTCATCTTTTTCATCACAGACAAATAAGAACACAGGTATAGAGCCACTGGGACACATCTAAGAGGGACATCTTATGATCGACCTCTGTAAGCGGGCTTGTTTCTGTGCCTCAAGAGTGTGCCTATGGTGAGTGCCAGCCAATAAAGAAGTTATGAACTGCAGTGTCCTCTCTGTGCACTTGCTTTACAACACACTCCATAGCTGTGCCTATGTGTAGTATACAAGACCACACTTTTCCACAAAGGTCCTTACTCACATTGCACCAAGCATCAGGTCTATTCACCAACCAGAGGTGAGCTGAGTGCACCGGTGCTTGCCTGTTATTTGTTCATGTGTGCATCTAATTCAGTTCTTTCTTTTAATTCCATTTCCCTAGCTGTTTCTTCTCACTGCTATTTTTCCTATCTCCTGCCTCATCCCTGCTCTGATGATGCCCTTTCATTGATCCAGGTCTCCTCTTTACCAGAATCATCACTCCTATTCTTTCTTCTCTATGGCTCCTAAAATTGTCATCAGTTTTCTTATAACTACTTTCACCCCAGAACCCTTCCATTTCCTATGACCTCACTTGGTCTCTCTCCTTCATTTCCTTCCTTCCATTCATCTCATTCCTCACCCTTCATTATCTGAACAAGACCCTCTTGCTTACCCTCTATCTGCTGCCAGCACCAGCAATGTTGATTTCTGCTGAGCAGGAGTGAGCTTAAGACTGCAAAGATTTTCCCCTTTGGGACATTTTTCTTACAAAGTTAGCAAAAATAACCTCTTTGATGCAGGACAGCTCTGCTGCCAAAATTTCTCCTAACTATAGCCAGAGATGAAATGCAAAACAATGTGGTTTAAATTATGCAATCAGAAGCAAATGTAAGTGCAGAGAAAGTCATAAGCAAGTGAAAATTAGAAGTTGCTTATGGGAACAATTGGGCAAACTCAACTTAAACATATCATATTTCTCATTATAGATATGGTTCCCATATCACTTATAAAGAAGTCTAGCTATAAGGAAACACTCCAGCATATGCTGCTTCACAATCCTCGTGAGCTGGCCTTAACATGTTAAGTTTTATCCTATCTGATTTCACCAAGGCTGTCTGTAAATAGGTAGGGTTGCCATTTCAGATTTCCATATCAATAAAATTCAGATAAACATGCCAACATGTCAATTGCTCATTTGAACTGTAATTTTGATTGTATTTTCTGCCATGAGAGTCCTGAACGCTTAATGGTGTTGGGATATCCAAACAGGTACCTGCTGTGCAAATCTGAGAGGGAACTTTACGCTTGACTCTTATGGTACATTTTAATGTTTGTTTATATAATTTAATAAGCAGAGAAGTACTACAGATGGAATCTAGCAATGTGTAAATATCTCAGAAATAATACACATAACATTTATGGCACAGGATAGTCATAACACATCAACCACTATTAAAAACACATTTGCTTGAATTTTTGGGTAGCACTTCACACTGCTAAATGTCTTAAATATGTTTAGCCAACCATTTCTAATGTAACATGCAACATTAAAGTTCAAGTAAATGCGTTTGAAATGCCTGTTGACCATTTGAACCAGTTTAATAAACCATTCATGATAAGATATATTCACAGAAGTGTTGCATAAGTACTGGAATAATCAGCATTATTAGAATACTCAGCACTCCAACTAAAATAAATATCTTTACTTGGAATGTTAATATGCTGGAACTCAGCTGAGTTATAAAGTCTCTGCACTTTTGGTAAATATTTTGCTTTGTGTACCTGGCATGTGTATGTATTGTGTTTGCTTGCAAATGCTTGAGCTGAATGTTTTTTGCTTGTATTTACATTTCCATAGCACCTCACCTGCAATGATAATGAACATTTGTTAAGCATCTTGAAGTACTTTGTCTTTGCTCCAAACCATTTCTTTTCACTTGCACATAAAGAGACCCTGTTTCCTTAACTAGCGCCATCTTAGCACTTAGAACAAGCTCGTGATTTATACCTTGGGCACTCATTGGCTTAATCATCTCTACTGGGGGCAACTTTTTAAGCAGTATCACCGGTGGTGAACACATAGGCTATTCCATAACAGTATCCATTTTCAAAAACAAAGGATCCACAGCGACAAGCAGTCACAATACACCCTTCTAGTTTTTGTTATTTCACCCTAGTTTTGTATTTACATAGTAGTAGCAAAGACATATCCACAGGGATGTGAGCTTCGTACAAATCCCCAGCCTGTTTATTCTGTGAAGATATATACTACACCTTTATTCCTTTGCTAAACCATTCTTCATTTAATTACCGCTTTGTGCCACATATTAATTACACCCATGCACAGCCAATTTCCTCTCTTAGTGCTTTCTTCTCATTCTTCTCCCGTTCAATAGTGAACAGAGCCCCAGACATTCCCTGCATATATCACTCCTCTTTCTACCACTGCTCCTGCAAACCCTGATTTGCGAGCCAAGGAAGAGCCAGTTCCAGGAGAAAAAAATGCCAGCAATTTAACAAGACTTTGAGCCCTCGTCATCTGGATTTACTCTGCAGGTCTTTAAACTGGTATTGATCATGAGAAAACAACACTGAAATAGTAGAGTTCTTTGCAAATAAATAGGAACAGTAGAGAGGTTTTTCACCCACGCTTCCAAGTATCAAACGCTCCATTATGAAAGCCACTCTGGTTGTAATTCCTCTTCTATCCTAAATTCTTTCTGCAGCTTGCTATTTTCAGTAAAACCTAATAAATAATTTCTGTGGGGTTTTGCTTTCAATGATACAGAGTAATGGCTGTAACTACTGTGAGGTGCCTGCTGGCCATGGTTATCACTTTTTGAAGAGCTGGTCAATCACTGAGGCTCAAATCACAAAGGTATGGATGGGAGGAGTAGACTGGCCAGGGGAGTGGCCTGGTGGTTCACAAAGTGCCAAAAAAGGATTGGAGAGTGAGTGATATCAGCAGTGGCAAACTTCTTTATATTTCAAAAACTTAGGGCATCAGAAGCTTTAAAAACAAAATTTGGAAAGCCAGGCAAATTAACACAAGGAAATGATGCAAGATGCCAATAGATAGTGTCAGTTAGTCTTGCAGAGACTTTTAATTTCTTCCCCCCATGTTTCAAAATATTCATGCTGAGATCTGCCATTTTTAATTTTGCTTTTCTTGAGAACTATACACTTGGTTTTTAAAAAATTGCCCATAAAAATGAGCATGTATCACAAAATGATTCATTTTTAAGCTTTGGTTGCATGCACATTTGCACATCAAGAATGCATCAACATAATACTGTTCTGAGACATGACCAAAGTATATTCTTCTCTCACTGGTTTTATTGCTGTAGAAGTTTGACTTGTATGAAGGTACTATAGATTTATTTGATTATATCTGAGAGCAAGATGTGCCCCGTGTAGTGTAGTGTTTTCCAACTGGGTTTTCAAGATTAAATATTCTGTAAAGATAAGATTCTGAAAAACACATCCTAATCAGTGTGCCATTGCCATGGATTTTATTGCACACATTAGTTGGCATTAGCAATCTGTTTTACTCTAAGCTCTACAGCATTTTGGACATCTTTAGAAGCTATTTCAGTGAAGTTTTGGTATAGCACTCAGGATGTTAAGCACATGTTCACCATTAACAGTAATGGGAGTCACGTACATACTACTAATCATTACTGAAGTTTAATATTCTAAACCAAATTCAAGAGCATTGTGGAAAATATTGTGCTGAACGATTTTCTTTCATTCACACTTCTGTTTGGTCTCCAGACAGACTGAATATTCTGACTGTGTCAGTCTTTGCTTCTAAATTGGATACAAACCTACTCAGATAATTAATCACTCCGAATGCTTATTGTACATCTTTCTTACTACTATGCAAGCAGATTTCACACAGCTTGTAGTTCATTATCAGATTGCATGAAAACAGCTGATTACTTCCTTCTCATAAAATTACATCAACAGCAAAGCCAGCTTCCATTCTCAATGTATCTTTAACCACGTGAAACATTTCAGGAGAGACTCATCAGGAAAAAAAAAAAATAATGTTTCCCTTTATCCAGCTTTCTATTATGAAGATCAAGGTCCATATGTTCAGAAATACCCAGAATTCCTGTCCGCATCGAGAGCAGAAATAAAACATTCATAATGCTTCTGAAATGACTTCTGTGTCTTCCCTTCCTCCTTCCCACAAAAATGATAACAATAAAAATAATAACAATAATGGTAACAAAGATATATATTTATAATATATTAAAAAGAAAATCTTTACCTTGTCCAGATATTGCTTTACTCTAAACTGAATCCTGAAGAAAGCCTTTTTAGAGTTTTTCTTCAGCAATAGGACTGCCCAGAGCAATGTCCTGCCCACAGTCCTCTGCTTTCCTCTTGTCCAGACTCTGTGTGCTCTGAACAAACCGTAGACAGTTCTTTCTTCTCAAAGAGAGGTGGATTCCCTTTGGATTCGTGCATTAATTGGAAAATAAGATAAAGCCACAGTTAGGCTTTTAATGACAAATAGATTCAAAAACATAAATTCACACTGCCAATATATATAGTTAAAATAAACTAGAAATGATGCTTAGTGGCTGTTATTTTATCTTTAAAGGATGCATGTGGGTTGCTCCAAAAGTAATGCCTTCTGTTAATTTCCATGAAAATTTCAAAAGGTACAAAGAGCACAGTAACGCTACTCAATAGAGTGAATTCTCAGATCAAAACAGTGTTTTCTGATATACTCACAAACTTTAGTGTTCATTCTCACCATGGGAGCCTTCATGTCATCCTTATAAAATTTTACACGGCCATCTGGAATATGGCTTGTGTTTTATTTCACTATCACCACTGTTGAAATGCACAACTCTCTGCTTCATTGCTCACATCCATTGGTTGGTTTCCATAAATGTTCAGAAAGCATCAATGTACGTCAGTAGTTTCCTGCACGGAGGAATTGAATCCCACACCTTTTCTCCATACGCACTTCCATGTCAAAGGCCATTCTGTCAGAATGCCCCACTGCTGCCATTTGTCACACAGCAACAAAATATCATGGAATATTAGCGATAAGATTCAACCACTACTGCCATCCCACCAATATCCTCCTTTGACATCACTGTATCATCATCATAAAATAGGAGGCATTACTTTTGGAGCAGCTCCAATATAACATTTTAGTTTTTCTATATTGCTTGCAGGTACATGTAGAAGATTTTATCTTCCCTTTTGAGCTCCCATATTAGATATTGTGCTTCATATTAAATCTGAATTGTACTAATCGTAATTGCCCCTTTTTGTCTGATAAATTCCAGGAAAGATAAGAAGAGTGGCTTCAATTCTATAAGGAAATTAAGAGCTTTACTGGCAAAAGATTAACACTCTATTGACCCACTTTAGTGTTTCTTTTCAAAACCAACATTAAAGGAGAACTCATGGTCTAAAATCATCCTAAATATCAAGCATTAGCCCATTTCTTACATAGGAAAATATTTCTACTCTTATTGAAAGTAATAGTAAACATGAAACAGAGAAAAGTTTGGTCAACATACTCTAATTGGCTTGATTCATTTAAAATAAAGGCAGAACTGCTGTCTCCCAGAACAGTAGATAAAATCACCCTAGTTCTCCCTGTGATACTTTTGCTGACATGCACATACAGCTGGGCAGATAGATTTTATTCACTCCATGTTTCGATAGGAAGGACTGCCAATCAAGCATTCAATTGTAGGAGTTGTATAATTTATGTTGGTAACAGTTGCTTAAGAGCTGCGGTTTCTTGTAAGAAGATTCCTAAGTTCAATTCTACCACACAGTGTAATTACAAATTCTTGTTTCTTACCATACTGCTTTTGTTTGAAAAACAGAATGTCTGAGCAGTTAATATGCTTATTTGCATATGGTTATGCTACAGCACACACCAGCAACTCTGTTCCCTTATGTAATTATATCAGCTCAGATTTTTCCTACGGCTTACTTCTTTGTCTCCTTATGCCTTCACCAGCACTAAACTTCTCTACAGGAGTTTCTACATATTTTCCTTAGCCCAAGAAATACTTAAAAGTTTAATCAAACTGAATTGAGCAGTGGGCCCAGGTGAACCTAATGAGGTACAACAAATCCAAATGCAAAGTCTTGCACCTGGGTTGAGGCAATTACCCATTACCAAGAAAAGCTGGGGGATGAAAGGACTGAGGACAGCCCTGCTGAAAAAGACCTGGGGGAGAGGGGATGGGAAGCTGGACATGAGCCAGCAATGTGCCCTCGAAGCCCAGAAAGCCAAACATATCCTGGGCTCCATCAAAAGAGGCATGGCCAGCAGGGCAAGGGAGGTGATCCTGCCCCTCTGCTCTGTGCTGGTGAGACCTCACCTGGAGTACAGCATCCTCAGTACAGGAGAGACATAGACCTGTTGGATTGCATCCAGAGGAGCGCGACAAAAATGGTGCAAGGGATGGAATGCTTCTCCTGTGAAGAGAGGCTGAGATCTGGGGCTGTGTAGCCTGGAGAAGAGAAGGCTGAGAGCTGACCTGACAGTGGCCTTTCAGCATCAAAAGAGGAGCTACAGAAAAGAAGGGGACTGAGTCTTTAGCAGGGTCTGTGGTGACAGAACAAGGGGAAATGGCTTCCAGCTCAAAGAGGGGAGATTTAGGTTGGATATAAGGAAAAAATCTTCTACAGTGAGGGTGGTGAGGCACTGGAACAGGTTGCATAGAGATGTGGTTGATGCCCTGTTCCTGGATACTTTCAAGGCAAGGCTGGATCAGACCCCAGACAACATGATGTAGCTGTGCTTGTTCCCGTTTGCTGCAGGGGAGTTGGAATAGATTGTCTTCAAAGGTCCCATCCAACTCCAAGGAGTCTATGATTATAAATTAAATCGTGCATCCTTTGTCATGAGTTTGGTTACACCTAAACTATAGAGGTTACACCTAAACTATTTCTATTATAATTTTGAACCACTTTGGGGATGAAATCATCATACACACCTGCAGAAATCTGTTGACTTAACGGGGTTTGCATGTGTGGATGTGAAAAAAGAAAACAACAGGAACACTGAATTGGTACTGAAATAACACTCTTGAAAAACTAGCTTTCTCTTCTGCTGGGATGAAGCAGTGGCACAAAACCAACTGCAATCACATACTTAAAATAGAGAGCCCTCAGTTATTCTCCCAGACGTTGTCTTTAGTTGTTGGTAAATCTGCTGGGAAGGTAATTCCCTCTGCTCTCTCATAGTATCTCACAAACTTTTCATTTTCTTAATAAGTGTTTCCCTCTTAATTTTTTTTTTTTTTTTTTTTTTTTTAAGGGGAGGAACTTCATCAACTTTATACTGCCTTGGTTTGTCACATCTGTGTTTAAGCACTTTCTGCTAACACTTAGATCTTCACTTACAAAAATAGGGATGGGAAATTTTCAATTAGCCTCTATCATATCTATCACAGCAAGTTTTCTGTCATCATTGCTTTTAGACACTTGTACTAGATAAGTGTATAATCAAAGAATATTAGGATGTTATAATCACAAAATAAACAAGAGAGTTAGGCAAAGCAGACTGTGATAACAAAAAGGAATAAATAGAAGGCTTACCCCTATCCTGGGCTCACTCACAAAAGACCAGCAGAGGTGATCTCCAGAAGAAATCCTTCCCCCCGGTAGCCAGCTCTTAAATAGGTCTTCTGGCAGAACAGGAGAATTGCCTTCACCTGTGCTCCTCTGGCTGACTCATTGCTCGCCTCAGGTGATCAATCAGAGGTTCAGGCCGTAACTCAGCAGTTCCCATGCAATAAGGAAAAATAGATCTTCACTGTTAATTTAATGCAGCCTTTGAAATCTATGAGATGCGGATATATTTTCATTTGTACCATATTTTCATTGATAAAATACTAGGGTTTTTTTCAAATTATATGCAAGTTCTGTCCGTGCAAACAAGCATTATTTTGCTTTCCTACAAAACTAGGATGTAAAAGAAGAAAATTCTTTGCCTTCAGAAAATTATGCAAGAAAACTACTTTCATCTTACATCAAAACAAGACAATCACTATGTTGCAGCAAAAGACATAGTAAAAGTGTTTTTAATTCTTCCCATGATTCTATGTGATGAAAGTAAAATTACAGCTTCAGATTTTTGGTAGGAAGGAATTATTATCTTGTAGTATCTACTCAGTGCTTCAGGAAATGCAGGATGTTTCCATTATAAATGGATTTGAGATTTCAGCCTTTTTTTGCCTTTCTCTGCCTCCTACATTCTGTGGCAAACAACATTCTCTAACAAATACCTCCTCTGGCCCAGATTGCAGCACTTGAATTAGTGGAGCTCACTACATTTCTGGAGGGATGCTCAGTCTGGAGGCAACACTGATTTGTCCTTCTGCCTTCTGACTGTGTCAGAAGCAAAGTCTGGATCAAACATCCTGAAAACCAAACACTCTTGTGACGGAAGAACAGATGGATGTCCACAATTTAAAAGCTCTCTGGAATTTTACTGGGATATCCAGTTGCATTTCAATTTTTTTTCCTATAGATGTTACAGTTTTATTAAAGAGTTAGATTAAAAAGTATCATCTCACTGAAGAAACCAAAAATTCTAATGAGTTTTGTGGTCAGGTAGTAATTATGTTAGCTTTTCCTAAAACTGGATACGTTCAAATTCTCATCTAATTACATTTTCAAAATGAATCATGGGAGTGAAAGGTCATGGTATGATAGCCAGTGTATTTTGTTTTCTTCTGGAAAGGGAACAAGTATAATTTCAATGGAAATGGTTTGAGAGTATGCTTGATAATTTGTAATTAACTCTCCAGGGTGCTGTGAGGCCTAATTAATTACTTATTGGAAAGCATTTGGAGATCTTTGGATGAAAGTTGCTACAGTAATGCCAAGAATTGCTGTTATTGTTATTGCTAGGTGTTTTCCATCCCCAAATGCGTTTAGCAGGAAAATGTACCTTTATTACTTTACACTATCTTACAAACAAGACTAATCTGATGAAAAGCAGTATTTAAAATCTGAGAATAATTTTCTCTGCAGTGGAAAACTGAATATGTTTATTCTTAAAATGTGAACATAACTTATGAATAAACCAAATACATAAATTACACTATGAAGTTCCACAGTAATAATACATTTATATTCTCCATCTACAGAGAAGCGAGAGCATCTGTTTGTAGAATTTTTCTTCTGTTATGAAACTGTCTTAAGTGTTAGGAAACCACTGTATCATGACTGGTGATTTTTACACCCAGCATTTGCTCTGAAGCCTATCAAAAAGAACATGCCGCATAAATGCAATTAACTCAAATTAATGTAATAATGGAGAGTCAAAAATATATTAAGATTCCTAGCCAAATTCGAATGATACCTCACTGAAAAACATTGAGAAGCCAATTCACTCCAATGGGTGGAACTCGTCTGTAAGAAAGAGAAATGATAGTCCATCTCCCAAAAGTCACAAAAGGGCAGCTTGGAATAGAACAAAGAACTTACTAGCCAAGGCTAAAGCATTTAGACACATTCATATTCAGTAATCCCTAATCTTATCTACAGGTTTATCACAAGTATTGAAAGCCCTTGAAAATACAAGTTGTAAAGGAAATATTCCTGAGGTTTCCTCTCCCTGAAGAGCTAACAACCAAGAGGTTAAAGCAGGAGGCTTTGTTGCACTCTGCTTAGACAAAGCAAAGGTAAGATTTGAAGTGAGTGTCTTCCAAATGCAGATCTACTCAGCGGGAATCCTGCTGGTGTTATAAGAGGGTGGTAAAAATTGACACCAATATGCATGTGATCTATGGTACTCATAATAAATATATACTGAAATACCGTTTACTAATAGTAAATAGTATATGTAATCATAAAACCATGACATAAGTCTTCATGTTTTCCCCAGAAGAAAACAGATCTTAAAATTTATTGCTTTTAATATTTTCCCCATATAGTAATACATTTATGAATAAATCTCAACATGTGCACGAGATAAATATACAAACCTTTAGATTTTTTTCTTGCAATGGAGTTGAATGCAGAGTTCCCTCAAGCATTAGCTGTCTCTAACAAGCAGGCTGCCATGTCTCTCTGTTTACCTTGTCAGCAGTGTTCATTTCTGTTATCACTCTTCTGGAAGAACAAAGTTTCTAGATATGCCTCAAAGGTGAACATAATTATGCTGTTTACATTGTTATTCCTACAGGGATCATAAAATAGTACTTAGAACAATGTTTACAGTCATCAGTGAAGCAGAAATCACTCTGTACATACCAGAAATGCAGAAAACAATCCCCCTCACTAACTAATTACAGATGGGACTGCACTGCATAGAGATCTCCCATCTTGCCTGTGATCTAGGTTCTGGGCTCTTGGATAGCCTGAAGCGCCCAGCAATTATGCTGTCCATCAAATCAGAATTTCTCTAAGGTATTTTCTTTTCACTGGGGCCCTGCAGACAATTTGACTTGCCAGTTTTTAAATTATATTCAGAGCAAGGCAGCAAATAAACCAAATGCAATGAAGCATAATTTAATGTGCCAACTAAGATGTACCATTCTTCCATGGGAAACTTTTTTCTCACTATGCCTTGTTTCATTTAATGTATACTGTTAGGCCTTGGGACAAAGTTAACTGTAGCTCATAGAAGTGTTTCCTTTACCTTCCATTGTTTTGGGGTCAGATGTGCATCATACAGCAGTATGGTTCACTGATGGCAGGCACTCAGCAAGGATACTGCAGTACTGCAGTACTACTGGTCCTCCCCTCCAGCCTCTGAGACAACAATGTATGTGTGCATTGAGAACCAGCAGCACTTCTAAAAGCTAATTCTGTAAAATGTAGAAAGAGTACTGATTTAAGACAACATAGCAAAGATGTGCCTTGCTCATAGATGATCACTCACAGGCAGCTGGGTGTTATTACAAAAATTGGTCTTCTCCTTATTTTCTGATTGTTAATCACCAGTCACTCTGTTCTGTTCAAGCTAAGGTAGCTGTGATGTGATTACGTATTCACACTCTTCCTATTGTTATATTAAGCTTTTTTCTGGTTGATACTTTGCATTCATCATGTGCTCACTTGGTAGTTAGCTCTCCAGGCTGTTTGCCGGAGGGAGCAGGGGATGCATCAGGCCCCATCCCATTTGTGGGAAAGGCAGAAATAGAAGTTCAAGCTAATCAGCCAGCATCATCAAATATGCATCATAACAGCCTGAAAACAATCACTTTACAGTGAGGAAAAATAATAAAAGAGAATAGGAAATAGAAAACAACAACATTTTTTGAAGGAGTTCCTGGACCTCGTTGACCCAGCAGTGTTAGTTTTGAAAGTAGTTATACTGATATAAGCCCCCTGGTTCAGCTGGACAGCATAGCATGTAGTGAGCCCTGCAGGACAGCCATGTTGTGGTGCTGTCCCATCATGAATACCTGTGGGTCTCCTAAAAACCTCAATGATGAGCCCAGCCTGGGGGCAGAGGGAAGCAGAGCTACTTGGTAGCAGCATGAGATACACTTAGGTACTCTGTAATTAAGACTTTGGACTTCAGTCACACTTTAGAAATCATGGTCCAGAGACCAAACAGTTTCATGGGGTTTTCAATCATTTGACTTCTTCTCTGTCATCTGGCTCAGGATGAGAGCAGGGGAAGCCACTAGGAACATAGCCATGGATAACAGCGAGGTCAGAGATTACGTCAAACTGTGAAGTTTGTTCTTAACACAGTGCTTCCAGCTGCAAAACTCAGGTCAAATCTTGGGTTACTGCTGTCACATTCATTTAGGAGGTGACAATCATGGAAGAAAGGACAGGAGATTCCACTAGAGGTACACTACACACATCATCATTTTCACAGCCTGTCTCTTGGATCCTGATCTTTTTGGACTTAATTTCCAGCACGTTAAAACAAAGTTCCAGAAAGAAAGAGATATTTTTCAATCACTCACCAGACTGAAATAAGACAATTTCACATGATTTTCTGCATTTTTTCACCATGTATACAGCATATTGATTTTTTTTTTTTTTTTTTTCCCTCCATCATTCACTGTATTCTACATTTTTTGTTGAGACCAGGAGGGAATCTGAGTCAATGCACCTCACTTTCCATAAGTCATGCCTAGCATCTGTATGCCAGAAAGTCATAGAAATGCTGAGTTTGGAAGGGAACTTAAAGATCACCTAGTTAAAGTCCCTTCCATGAACAGGATTGCCACCCATTAGATCAGGCTGTTCAGTCACACAGTCTTGATATAAAAGTCAAAAGTCTTGTTAAAATCAGATTTATAATTTCCATTGCAGTTTTCAATATCTTTTTTTTTTTTTTTTTTTTTTTTTTTTTTCCTTAAGTTTCTTTACTGTGATCATATTCTAATTTTTATGTGGATAAATTCATGCACAGATTCTCAGGTAGACCAGGAGGACTACAATATATTCAAGAAATCTGTTTCTAGGAAGCTCTAAATTACATTAGCAATACATTGTAGCAATAACAATCAAGTCTGGCTCATTTCCTTGGCATTAATGACTAACTGGGAGAGCTGATGGCCTCAAGAAGTAGTCATTATTTTATTAAGGATTTTTATTTTGTTTTTAATTAGAAAACTGTTAGAAAAAAAGTTCTTCTCCGTGTTTAAGACTAATGACAGAATCACAGGAGAAAAAGTACAATCACTTTGAACAAGTAAAAAGTCTCTTTTAAATATTTAATAATCCTTGGTTAATCCTGTAGCACACCAGTGGTTTCTGCTGACTTCATCTTTTCTCCAAGTGTTTGCATTTGTCTGATCCCAAAGGAATTGCTGTTGATGTTTTGAAAAATGAAGCATGCAGATTTTAAACAACCCTGGTAAATAGATGGTACACTTTTGGATAATGCTTTTCAAAAAGATTACTTATGATAGGTAGCTCTTTCTGACTTTGAGTTTGTTGGCTAGGATGTACTGAATATGGGTGAGGAAAAGGAAGACTGGAAAGCTACAAATGCCTTTAGCATACTGAATAAACAGAAGAGACAGATTTGCAAACCAATCCACTTAGCCTCTCTTAACAGAAAAAAAGATTGGAATAAATCATTAAATAAATTACTTTCAAACAACTGGAACTTAATAGGGGAATGGGTAGGAGATGAAACCAGATCATTAAAAAACTGCTTCAGAGAAAACTGTTTTCTTTTATAACAAGGCCAGTATTCAAATTCAAAAGGATCTCAATGAGTTGTGGAATTGAACCAGGAGAAAAATATAAAATTAAATAAAACATAAAATAAAATAATGGTGCTATGGTGATATTCAAAAGGAACAAACTTCGAGTTTAACAGGGAACAATCAATGCACAAATCTTAAAAAACTCTCGTATGCAGGTGTGTAGACACGGCCAGCATCCTTGTTCATGTGGAAAGAAGAGGCACGGTACTAAATGGTAGCACAGAAAGTGAATTCATAGATAGAGGATGAAAATGTTGAAGAACAGTCTGAGCTACTCAGGACACATTTTTCTACCTATGACTGGCCAGGAAAAGTGGTGCACAAAGTTCGCATTGATTTGATGCCCATTTTCCCATTTTTAAAACAACTTACAAATTATCATGATCTGCAGGCTCTGCCTTTAAGATGTGTTATTTGTAACTTTAAAAGTTATAGCTGAATGGGATTAGTGACCGTGACAATGTTTTCTGTTGAGTAGACTCTTGATGACCCTGTTTTTGTTAACTTATTTGTCTTTGCTTTGTGAAATTATGTGCCATTAACTCACCACATCCTGTAAATCCTCTGCAGTAATAACTACATGTAACAGCCCTTCTGTCTAGTCAGTTGAGATTTGACAGCCTCTGTTTGCTAAACGTATCATTTCACTGAGACTTTGGAACACACTTTTCATATTTCTCCATTCTCATTATCGAGCTAAGGTCCTCATAACATATGGTCCTATTTTCCTAATCGCATTCACTGCTACACGTCAAACCAAGCTAATCTTTCAAAGCGTCAGGCTAATCAGTACAAAATGCATGGCCACTGTTTGCACACATGCTGGTAACGAGGTGGGAACAGGACCTACACAAATCAGAAAATGCCACTGAATCCCAGCTGGGTAGTTTATTCCTCCTTTGTTTTCAAAGATGATCTGAAATGCATCTTCTTTCTCATTTACATGCTCAGAGTCATTTTCCCAGCAGATTGCTACTAACACTAGTGGCTGATGTCCTATTCAGCCAGACCTTCACCATAACGTAGGGCATTGGCTAACGATTTCCATGAGACAGATCTTAAGGTGAATGACTAAAATTGTTCAGGATGTTATTAGTATTCACAAGAAAGTACAACATATCATTTAACCGCCTCTAAGGACGCAACAATGTAGAGACAGTGTGGTAATTACCACTCAGTTGTAGGTTTCTTATTTGGTAAAAATAACAGGTAACACACAGACTGTAATTTACTTTTCATACCTCTGACATAATCACAGCAAGTCTGATGATTCCCCCTAAAGCAGCTTAGCTGGGAACGAGCAGAGGGAAGTGAAGGGATGGGTTAATTTGTGTTTTTAAACACAATGTTTTTAAAGGTACAATTGTACACTATAACAAAGCCAAAGAAAACCCTACGCTTGCATTGTAAAAATCTTTGATTCTGGGGCCATTTGAAACATCATATTCAATTCCATCAAAGCTGCACTAATTCAATAGATCTGAACTGAATTCTAGCTTTTCTTTAGTAATAGTCAATGAATTTCCTCTAATCTTGAATATCAAAAACCTTAAGCGTGAGCCATCAGCACTCTCCTGAAGATGCTGAAATAGCTAGAAACTTTGATTTAACCAAGTAAGTTTCAACAACTAAATGCAGAATGCACACACACAAGAAAAGAAGACTCACTGGGCCATTCAGCAATTTTAAGTTGACAAAATTTTTTCTCATTCACTTTTGAAATCATTCTGAGTCCCTCAATCCAGTAGGTGAGCAGAAGCTTCATACTTCCAACCCCAGTGGTCAGACTGAATGTGCATTCCCTATAGGCACATCATAAACACACACACACCGATAGAGGTTGATGTAGATGGCAACAACCATGTTAACATGGATGTACCAATGCCTCATAGTTTCCCTCTGGTTGATCATGATGAAGGTCCTGCCGTATGTATACATGTATACATGCAATATGGATCTCTCCAGCAGGTAGGCTTGCACAGTCAGCCCAGTAGCTAGCCCTGTTTGCTCCCATCTTTAGCAGCTGTCAGCACACATACAGGAAGATCTCCTAAGCAACCTTCTGACTTCACAAATTCTCCCACAGCTACTGTGGGCCCATCTCTCCAGTAGTCATCTCACAGAACCACTGCTTTCTCCAGAGCCAGTCTTGAAACTTTTCCCATCTTTACTTCCATACCAAAACATCTTACAGTAAGTCTTTTTATTCCACTAGCTGTGAAAGTACGTGGGAACAGCTTGAGAGCATCTTCTCAGTTGACTGTATAAGAAACATCATCCATTTTTAATCAATATCCAGTCACCAAGAGATGACTAGTTTGTGGGATCAGATTCCTAACCATATTTAAGCAGAAGTAACTGTTTCAAATATAATTACTACAAATCCTCAGAAGCCTTCATCAGAAATTAGCTTCTATAACAGAGGTTATCACCTTTCCTGCTCAGTGGACAGCTCTTTATAAGGCTCCTGATTACACAGATCTTGGGTTTACTGCTCTTGGAACAATTCAGCCTGATGCCTAGCCCATGCTAATGAGCAGCAAATGAGGGAAAGGACTTTATTTGCCCAATAAAGGGAACGAATGCACAATTAAAGGGTCTTGTTTCTCTTGCATGTATCATGTCTCAGACTTAAAACTTTCGAAATGAAAATCGTGAAACTGTCTCCTACAAGAGCAACCTAAGTACTGCTCCATGGAAATGTGTGTATTCACAGCAGGACTCTGTTTAGAGCTTTAGTTCAATCTCTCATCTAAAAATGTATCTGAAGTAACATCAAAACATGATTTTGGAAACGTTTTTCTTACATACATTACATAGAGATGACTTTATACAGTTCAACTGATCCAACTCACACTAGAAATCAAGTAGATAGTTATTCAATCAATGTGATGTATGTGGCAGCGCTAGGAAAGGCATATAGGAGCAGGCTCCATGTGGGGAGAGATTAAATAGATTAACATAATCTTCTTGGGAAAGCAATGCATGAGGTGGGATGTCATGGGAGAAAGTTATGAACAAGACAGAAGAAGTTAATAGGCAGCAATTATTCACTATTTCTTGCAACAGAAGAGTTTGGGAGTGTGCAACAAATTAATTTGTTTAATTTAAGAATAGGCAAAGGTCAAAGTTTTTTTCGTGCAGTCCTGATTAAACTGAAGAACTGACTATCATAGGGTGTTATGGATAATAAAGTCATAGGAAGGTTCAAGAGCAATTAAACCAATACAGGGAAGAAATGCACTTCTGGGGCTAATCTGCACAAGATGTGGCTGCCACATCTCTGAGCTGAGGGTGAGAGCAGAAGGGCTGAACTGCAGGTGCGTTCTCATTCCTTTGCTACTTGAGAACAGCCACTGCCAGCAATGAAATATTGAACTGAACGGCTTCGTAGGCATCTTTGTGGCCATGTGCCATATTCTGAGATTTCCTCTGTTCACAGAGGTCTCTCAGCAGGTAGCTTCAACCCTGGCCAGCACAGAGCCATGTCCCACCAGCAGAAGCCCTGGGGTTCCATGCTAAGCAGACAGAACAAACTAGTAATAATTGATACTGGTCACATAAGCTGCAAAATGACTTGCTTCTAAAAACATTACTAATGTGTGGCTAATGGCCAAAAGAAAACAAACTGTAATTAAGAACATGAGATACTTCTCCATATTTTAGAGGCAAAGCAGGAAAAGGATGCTTAGGAGCTTGAATTTTCAGATTCAGATAATTAACTTTGGCATTAGAGGCTTATTAAAATATATTGCCCAAGAGATAGCTGGGTACAGAACTCTTCTAGATAGAGAGAACAAAGCTTTAACACTTAAATGACCTTTTACAGTTCCTGAATATCTTATGATATGATGTTTGAAAATGAAGATTGCCAAACAGATGGAGCTGTTAATAAATTTAGGAAACAACATGACATATGCTCAAAGGAGCTTTAGGAAAAACCTTTTGTTTCATGTGAAATCCTGTGGGTCAGCTAACATCAATCAAAAATAAAGGAAAAGGAGAGGAAAAGGCAAAACTTTTTTGTTAATTAAAGCCAGAAGATACAAAGGGATAGCTCCAAATCAGCTGCAGATTTTGTGCATCCAGATGATGCCTCTGACTGGTTCTGGTACGTAGCAGCATAGACAGTGCATGACTTGGAGGAACGGGATTGAAGCTGACAGGTATGTAATAGAGCTAACTGCTATGGCTTGTGCCTAAATAAGTGAAATCAATTAGACGTAGAGAAAAACAAAGGATACTGAGCCAGCACTCAACTGTTAAGAAAAGAGCTCTAAAAATTATGATAATTTTTGAAAACTAAGAGAGGAGTTACCCTTTACCTTTACCTTCGCTTGCTGTAACATTTAAAGTATATAGTTCACAGAGAAAAAAAGAACTTTGCTGCCAGTGGAATAGAAGAATATTTTTAACCTCAGTTATTTATTGCTCAGTGAAAACCAGAGTTTCTCTATGAAACCTGGTCTTAGATGCTTTTAATTTCATGCTAGCCAGCTGGATGAGCAGTTCCCTGCCTCTTGGAGCATAGGACAAACACAACATGTCTAAAAGTGGTGCTGTTACTCATGGCTGGCACGACACGTCCCCTCAGACAGTGCACACAGCATTGCATTGGTGCAGTCATCTGGCCTCGAAATCATGAGATGTGCGTCACTACAAAGCTCATGGTTTTCTGTTCCACTCACATTCACGGAAAACTGAATGAAAAGAAAACCTCTCCTCTGCTTAGTTTGCAAGCTGAGGAAATAGTTTAGCCCTACAAAAGGCATTTCTGGACAATAAGCCCCAGCATGCCAGAGTGCTTTCACAAGATGATGCCACTTAGGCTACTGTTCCTCTGCATCCTGACATAATCTGCTGTTTTTTAAATGGCATTAGCACTCTGTTTTCTTGATGTTCTATGAGCAGCGATCAGCAATTTCACTAGCTAGTTCAAGAGCAAGGGAACCACGGGCAGTAACTGACAAAGCACATAACATCCAGACCATGCAGGAACATCTGATGGCACCATGGGGTGTTTTATGGCTGCTGTCAACAAACTTTTCTAGGAGGAACCCAATGCTCAGAAATGGGGCCAAGTCCCTGAGAAAGGGGTAGGTTTATTTGCAATCTCTTTCTTATTCAGATTTTTTTCCATACTTTCAGTTTCTCTGAATTTTCTTTCTTGACAGAAAAGTTTGCTTTAATTTAAACCTCTCAGCTTGTTTTCTGTGATTGGAAAAACAGTGCTCCCAGCAGCAATTCAAATTTAGGGTCCCAGGAAAGCCAAGCTGAAAGACACCTGCACGCATCTTACCTACTGATTAGGCCCATGTCTTGCCAAAGTATACCTGACACAAATGTTAGAAAGGCTTTCCATTACATTTCATACCCACCACATGCAAAATATGAATGTTAATAACTTATTAACATTTGTTGTTAATAATTGCAATGCCAAGCATTCATAAGTCAACATGTCTGGACAATCTTTTCTGTTGCTCTCATGAACTATATTGATGTGCTCTCTAATTACACCACGGCACGCTCATATTTCCACAGGACCCTGGACTCATTTGGTGCACAGATCAATCAGGGCTACTTTAATGAGTACAGCTAGTCAATATTTTATCTCAGCACCGCTGTTAATTGTGCGGTTGTTTATATTTACCAGCAAGGTTTAAACACTGTGCTGAGGACAGAGCTGCTAATCTCCACACTGACTTTCTAACCACAGTCATTATTTTCCCCCTTTTGTGGGGAATGACCATTGATCTTCACCTCCATGCTACAACGGCAGGACAGTAGCCTACTAATTCTGTTACAGGAGGCTGAAGTACAAACAGATGCAAAACAAAACAGTTTGCTAATTTGGGACATCTAGTCTGAGACTGCTGGGATTTCGGTCTTTGTGATCAGCAATACGTGACATGCCATAAGACACATACAAAGCACCTCTCCTGTTGCTTCCAGCTGCATCTGCAAGAGGTCAGCTTTTCTCCAGAGCGCGTGAATGTGTTGCATTGCAATGCCCAAAAATCTTGCACACGTGTTCACAGGTGGAAAGAAGGTCCCACCCCACTGCCTAACTGACCTCAGGGGTCTGATTTTCCTCACTGCTTCATAACACCTGGAAAAGGGACCTGTTCTAAAGCACTCTAGCTCTGTAGATAGAAATGTTTGGCTTTGGACAAAACTCTATGATTTTTCCCATTTAAAAGATTACTTAGTGACTGTGAGAGATTGTTCTGTTAACGCCTGTGTCCCAAAGCTTGCTGGGGACACAGATGGACTTGTTCAAGTCCCGAGCAAGGACTGAGAAATCCTTTGTCTGAAGGACACAGATGAACAAGTCCGGGCAAGTCCTGGGCAAAGGTTGTGAGATCCTTTGTGTGGGGAACGCAGATGGGCAAGGCCAGGGGCAACGAGAGCGAGATGAGCTGCAGCTAAATAGCTGTGAAGTGCTCCTTTGTGTGGACTTATCTCAGGATGATGGCCATCTCAGGGGGTACTCAATGACTCTTGCTCGAGGCCCATCCTTGTCAGGTAGGCAGGAGAACAAGGAGGATAAAAAGAGGAACCGAAAACCACGAGGAGAGGTTTTCTGGCAACAGATTCCTCATGAAGAAGAGGTTTCTGCCATGAGAAGCCTCACGACCTGCCTCTCTCACTCTTGGACTTGCTCTGCGCTCTACCACGATGCTGAAGAAGAACGAAGATGTCTGCCATCAGATTCCTCACTACGGAATTTCTGCATCCTGACGGGCTCTACCTGAGTCCTGCTGCTTCCTCCAGATTGGCTCTGCGACTTCTTGCTGCTACCTGCTTGCTGCCCAAGGCCGGCCACGCTGCTGCTCCCCCTCCCTGCTGCGTTTGCCTCGGACCTTCAAACGCCGTGCAACCGGACCGCTGCTGGATCCTGCTGGTGACTCTCCCCGCTTTACGCAATTCTTATGCAGATCTTTCCTATCTTTTCTGTCGCCCTCCTTCCCTTCCCCGTCTCCCTGATTTGTAATAAACTGGTCGGACCAACATATGAACCGTTGTTTCTTAATCTCACGCCGGGTAAACAGATATTAAAAGAACCTCATCTCCCTCCTATAAATTGGAGCAAGACAGTGACAAAAAATAAATTAAGACTTGAAAATAATACAGAACTTACCACATTAAACAGAACTAAGCACTTCTATTTGTCCAAATTACACGTTGTGCTTGCAGTGTGTTTCTGTGCTCTTCAGACTTTCCCTCTCTTCGCCCTGTCGTCCTGGAGAGACAGAAAACATCCATTTCTGAAATCGTAGAATCATAGCATAATAGAATGGCCAGGGTTGGAAGGGACCTCAAAGACCATGAATCTCTGCTGCCACATGCAGGGCCACCAACTTCCACATTTAATACTAGACCAGACTGCCCAGGACCCCATCCAACCTGGCCTTGAACACCTCCAGGGATGGGGCACCCACAGCCTCTCTCTGGGCAGCTGTTCCAGTACCTCAATGCTCTCATAGAAAAGAATATCCCTGTAAAATCCAACCTAAATCTTCCCTCCTTCAACTTAAAACCATTTCCCCTTGTCCTGCCATTATCAATTGTTGTAAAGAGTTGATTCCAATGTAATACAGAATTACATGGAAATAATCCTCACTTGTGCTTCAGTGGGCTTGTCTGGCCTCTTAGGGATGAAATGCTGAACTCTTCTTTAACATGCAAGAAAGAAGAAGAGGAAAAAAAATACACATTTCAATTATCTTAACAGCTCACTACTAATTTTTCCACTTCATTTGTGTTTTCTTTCGATGGTTTAAGATCACCTAGTGCTTCTGGAGAGGTGAGAGCAAGGCTGCACTTCTCCACAGTGTTATTTCCAGTTCTGAAAGCTTGCAGCTCAGTGGGGCAAGCCAGCAAAGTTCCTACAACTCTTACACCTGCAGATTCCTGACCTGATCTTACTTCCCTGGAATTAAATCTTAGACTTTTCAATGATTGTAATGCAGTCAGGCTTTCCCCAAAATGAAAAACATTCAATGCTTAGTTCAACCTGGTAAATAATGTTTTCTCATGGCATTGTAAACAGGGATGAACTGATCCATGCAGTGACCCTCAGTCACTCTTCCCTGAGTCCCTCACCTCACAACTAAACAAATTAATGCAGCTTTGAGGCAACTAAGTTCAGAAAGGATGGTAAACAATGTACTGTCTTCCCAAAGCCAAAATAATCTGCATTTGTTTTGGAACATTGTCATGAATCACTTTAATGTTTCATTTCTTTAGATGCTTTTTTATTTCCTTCTATAAATCCCATCCTCTGAGAGTTGCACAATGTCCATTCCGGTTACATTTGAAAACTCCTCAGATGAAGGTTTTAGTCATTTGCTTTTTGGTGAGTAATTGTACTCATTTTCAGCCAGAAGACAGTTAACCTTTAGAGACAGTCAATTGCCCTCTCTATGTACCTATCACTGTACTTACTGGTAGTGTAAGACTAAAACTTAATAACCTAGAAGAGATGAAGCATTAGCTTTGCTCTGACAAAAACCCATTCTAAGTTTTAAGGCTAGAAATTTTCAAAGGAACCTGAAGGATTTGTTCCTTAAATAACTATAGTTTGGTAGAGTTGATACTTATTAAATAGCAGTAGATATGAATCAGACAGCATCTGCAGAACTGTTTTTTATATTTTATCATAATAACTACTTGAGTTCAAAGACTACTGCAGAAATATATTGCCAAATATACACAATGCACAAATGTATCAATTGTAAAATCTTGTTTTGCTTTAGAAAATGAATCCTAAGTACTTAAATTAAATGATGGCTATCTATATGAAAAACAAAAGGAGATTGTGATTATCTATAGGCACATTTAACTTTCTATATCTTTGAAACAATGCTATTAGAAGAAGTATTATATGCAATAAAAATACAAAACAAATATTACAACATGGTGCTTTGATAGTAACTTAATAAACACCAAATCATAAATGATTGTGAAAACATAGTAGCCATACATTTTTTTTACTGTGTACATGCAAAATTTCAGCCCACTCTCTGGAAAGACTCATACTTATCCAGATAAAGCTCAAGGTAACCTGCTCAAGGATAAGAACTGTTTAAGTGATGCGAAGGGGGTGAGCTCTTTATCTGTCTGCTTGGAGTGCAAGATGGGCTTCCAGCTCTTCCATTTCCTTCTGCTTTCTCTCCTCTTTACCTTGGAGAGCCACTATTAGTGCCCTGGACTAGGATATGATCAGTCTTACCTAGAATTAGAAGATAGAATGAAGAGGACAGGAAAGATGGGAGAAGATCAGACTGGCCTGGGCAGTTCTCCTCAGTCTGTCTCAAACTTCTAACATAACATGTGTATAGTCAGAAAGTAATTATAGGAGGTGGATTATAGGAGATGTGTTTCAGGGAAAGGAGATGGGAGAAGATGATGACTGATGACAGTCTGTGACTGCTGTCAGGAGTGACACAGGAGTACAATCTCATCTAAAATACAAAATGAGAAGATGACCTCTTTATGGCCTTGGTTTTGTTTTTCTTTTATTTTTGCCCATGAAATGAGAGGGCACATGGCCTTTCTGTTTGGTCTGTATGGAAACTGGATCTGCACAATTCTTCTTAAAGTGGCAGATTTGCTTTCCCTGCCTTCTCACTTTCCATGTCATGGCCACCAGCAGCCTGGTGGGAGGCAGGGAGCTCAGTGTGTACGGAAATGGCTCTTTCCTCATTCCCATTTGCAAGAAAAGATCTCATTTTTAGAAGATTTTGTGTGGGCTTAAAAAATTCTTAGTAAAATTAATCCTTTTCACAAATGCTCTAAATTCTTAATTCCCCAAATGTTGAGAACATTTACTGCTGAGAAATAGTTAGAAAAATTTTCTTACTGCTAAATCCATCTGCCTACTTAAAGACAAAAACTTATATTACTTAGCAGCCTTCAAATGATACATTCTCCTGATGTGTCAATTTTCAGATGTTTCATATTTTCTGCAATCAAAATTAGAAAACTTTTTAAAAAGATAGCTCTGGTATTATTATTATTATTATTATTATTACTATTATTGTCATTTTGACATATTCCTTCAAATGATAATCGAGTGGAGGAACTAAAAACATTAATATTCTTTAGGCGGTCATTATCTGGCAACTCTTAAGCAAGTCCCTTGCCAAAACTAGAAAGGAATATCCCTACAAAGATACTTAAAAAGAGACAATGCCTGCTTTGTTGATTACTCCATAGAAACTCTTTGTGAGAAATGAATTTACGAAGACATGCTGAAAGCTGGAAATCTCCCTTTGTTCGAATAAGAATGAACTGACCTGAAACAGCATTTGAGCTCCTTTTCAAACCCTCAAAAATGCATAGGTGTAGCTAAAGAAATGTCCTGCCTGGAAAAACATAAAATGGAAACTTTAGCACTGTAGAGAAGTTTCTGCCCAGACAAAAGACATGAAGCAATAAAACTCAGTAAAAATTATAACCCGACAGCAGCACATTTTGCAGCATATTAACTAGTCATCACCTGATCCTGCTGGCATGGTAATTCCATGGAAACACTGGGGAAAGGACAAAAATGAAGGGAATGAGAATTTTCATCAACCAGTGCCTGGCAGAGGTGTAGTCTCATGTTGTTAAATGTGTGGCGAAGCCAGGCAAACATAAGCCCTAGCTCTGCCAAAGAATTACATTCAACTGTGCCTTCTAATTCTTTTATTGAATAATTAGATGATAATGTAACACAGAATGTCACCACCTTCTCTACCATACGCATCTGCTCTGCTGGGTTAGGATTATGTAGCCAGAACAGAGGCAACAGTTAATCTTGATAAATTTTAAGAAACAATGCTATGCTATTTGCAATTTAAAATGTTTAATTTTTACCTATTTAGCTGTTGCAAAACACCTTTTTCAATAATTTTTGAATAATTGATTCAATTATTTTTTTGATCCTATGGGATTTAGTCGAACATTTAGCTTTGACCATATTCTAAAATGGATTACTATGTCAAGCATCTTTCACGTGTCTTTATACAAAATTATTCTATCCCTTCATAAACAACTTCAATTTTCCCTGTATCATCATCACAGGGCACACTGGGGGGTAAAACAGTTTGGCTTTGTCTTTTTTTTGGGACACATGCCTAGTCAAGCACTGATTTACCAGGAAGTCTGAAATCTTTGTCAAAAGCTTAAGGTTTCATAAAATATATATTATTCATATGATCATAGAATTTTTTTTAGTTGGAAGTCCAATTCCACTGCAAGGAACTGGAACATCTACATCTCCATCAGATTACTTAGGACCTGGTCCAACCTGATCTTGAGTCTCTGCAGAGATGAGGAATCCACTGCCTCTCTGGGTAACCTGTTCCAGTGCTTCACTACCCTGATATTACATAACTGATGTAACTTCTGCTTTCTTTCTACCTTCCTGCAAATTGAAGGAAGATACTGGCATGAAAAGATAGCTTATTCTGAGACAAGGCAAAGAAGAGTAAGTGACTAAGCTGTATTCCCAAATTTATGATGCAGCCCAATGTTAGGATGAGACCTACCACATCTGTCTGTACATTGTTCCAATGTGGTGGCATGTCTACTGTCATGAGTTAACTGAACCAGTGAAATAGCCATGGGTAGCATTTCATAATTCATGTGGAAATCATTGTAAACATCTCAGGTTCTGCATTGCTAGCCAGTATGAGGGGATTTTTCTCTGCTAGGAGTTGCCCCTGCAGCCACAGAAGGGGTGATGAGGAGCACATCTGCATTGTGCATCCATGGGATGAGCCCACAGATGTGGTTTCATGCTGAGTCTGATGCAAACCATAGGCTTTTTCCAGTCCAGGACACCAAATGCTGCTTGGAGTGTGACAGTGGAAAAACTCATGTTAATAGCAGGAAATCTGCACATGAAGGTTTGTTAATAAAATATGCACAGATGAAGGCATCCATTGCACACAATGTCCTTTGGCGTAGCTGTAGAGGATGTTCTTTATCTTTGAGAACATGTGGGAGGACAGCTGTAGGGGCTGTGTCCCCCTGTGCTTTCACAACCTAGTCATGAATTTCTTCTGTCAATCTGCTGCTTTTGTGCTTCATTTGGCAAATTTATTGGCTATGCTGTACATCACAGCCCTTTGAAAAACAGTTTAAACATATGTAGTACTTCTTTATAATCAGTAGTTCTTTGTTTTCTTAACTACTAAGCCAGACAGTGGCTTTCTATAGTGTCCTTTTATTAGGAACCTTCACTGTACTTACATTTTTCATCATTATCTGTTGGGGTTTTTCAGTCACTCTTGACACAGTGCCCGGAAATTCAAGAAACTTGAAATATGTTTGATTCTCCTAAGCTGCCTGAAACACTTCTCCAGATTCCCAGCAAATGAAGCAATGTTTATTACTCAATTTTCATAAATCATGAAATCTCCTAGAAAGCTCCAATTTCTTGTTATATTTATGATTTAAGAGAAACAATTATCAGTGCCTAGCCTTACTTCAGGGCTGCAGTTTTCACATGCTGAGAGCACTGTGATTTCATTAATAATCAATAAAAAGGCAATAGAAACTTCCCCTTCAAGCATCCTATTCACTATGAGAGAATGTTCTAGTTTAAGGCAAAAACGTAATGCAGATGGATGATGACAATATCACTAGAAAGATCTTCAGGCATTTGCATATTTTTCTGATTCCAAAACCCATTGGAGAAGTCAGGCACATTTCACACTCACTTTTGAGCACTGTGAACACTGTGAATTTAATAATAATAGGAGTTCCAAGTCGTTGCTAGCATAGTGCTAAATGCAACTTGCATTTCAGAGAGGCTTTTTTCCTAAGTGACAATCTCAACAAGTCTAGACAGATTTTTTCTCCTACACATTCACTGAGTTCCTCCCATTTTGCTACTGAACAATTTCAGCAGTAGCAGCTGCAGTGAAATGATGCAGCCAAAACTAAGCATAAAGCTAAGCTACAATCCTTCAGTGAATAGTTGCATGGAAAGTTCTTTCTCTACCAAAAAAAAAAGAAGAAGAAGAAAAAGTATATCTTGAACAACTTGCCTTCATATATCTAAATAAAAAAAATCATATTCTCTGATGGTATCAGGGAATTGCTTGCAGGTGAATAGATACTACTAACATTTTCCTGCTAATATTATGACAGTAACATTGATATTGCTGTGATGGTCTTACAATATAATAGGAACAAGTTTTGTGGGGGGAGAGGTAATACCTTTTATTAAACTTGCTGACATAGCTGGAAGAACAGTGTGCCTGTGCCCCTGGTGAAAGTTTTGTGCCTGAAAATACCTGTTGTTTTCTTTTTTCTTCTACTGCAAGTAGTTGGTCGTCCCACAACTATTTCACAATTAATTCATACTGACTGTGCTAGAGAATCCTCTAGCCTTTGCCATCTGTGGCATAGTCACTGACAGACAATAAAAACCTCACTGTAAACTGGAATCCAGAACATCTCCACCGCCTGAAGAAGATGGGGAGGAAAACAACCTAGGCTGAACTAGCTGCAGTCAGGTCTTTGCCCAAAGAACGACTGTTTACATGAGTTGATAGTGATAGGACAAGGGGGAAATGGTTTTAACTGAGACAGGGGAGGTTTAGGTTAGATACTAGGAGGAAGTTTTTCACACTGAGGGTGGTGAAGCACTGGAACAGGTTGCCCAAGGAGGTTGTGGATGCCCCATCCCTGGAGGCATTCAAGGCCAGGCTGAATGTAGCTCTGGGCAGCCTGGTCTGGTGGTTGGTGACCTTGCGTGTGGCATGGGGTTTTAACTAGATGATCAGTATGGTCTTTTTCAATCCAGACCATCCAATGATTCTATGACCCACTGCTGGGTCCCATCTGATTGCTCCATTCTAGGCCCCAGCAAACATCCAGGACTTCAAGGCTAGAGTAGGGCTGAGCCACAATGGCTCAGCTCCTGAAAAAACAAAGCTGGAACAAGGAGGGGTAACACCACTTGAACCAACAAAGACTTCTCTAAATTAGAGGTCAATACAGAAGAAGACTAAGAGGTTGTCTTAGTTGTCAGAAGTGCCATCTTTTTATGATAATGGCAAGTACAAAGTCATTTATTTTTCACGTATTACATAGCAACACTTGTCTTGCAGTCAGGTATTTCAGGCATGCTTTCAGCACTATGCTTTTAATGAGGTGCTTGATCCTTGTGTAAAATCAGCACCACAGCCCTTATCCAGCAAGAACTAACAAGGAACTATAAATGGCCCAATTACCAGGCTGAAATGTCATTCACACATTTGTTATCTCCCACACCAACAGGGAAAAATAACACAGAGGCACAGTAGCTGAAGGCAAATTGCAATTACTGTCGATTGAACTAGGACTTGCAAAGATCTTCATGTAATTCAAAGCTTTAAAATTTAACGTGAACTACATTCAGTTTTGAACATCAGTTGGGTTCATTAATATTTAGGTTTAGATTTGCCAAAAAGTCATAATATCCTTATTAATAATATTAGCAGCTCTAACTGTTGCCAACATGATACTGCACTTAGTTTTAACTCATTAGCTAAATTATTCCAGGAACAGTAGCACTCAGGATGGAGGATTTCTGGAACATGTGATCATGGAGAAGTTGGACACCCTTCCTCCAAGTCTCCATCACATTAATGCAGGACATGTCACTCAAAGAAAAGATTTTGAATATCGATCTTCTAATGGGCTTTTAATTCCAATCTTAATAATTCTGTTGCTAAAGGATAGGCTAGTAACCTTTGAAAAACACTAATGCACTGTCCTCATCTAATTTAGATATTTGTATTTACTGTGACATAGGGGTGCCTATATAAAACCATCTTCCCTGTGTGGGTGGGAGAAATATACGAGCTCATAATGTCATCATATTTAATATTTTAATTGCATTTTAATAATATGTTCTACTGCAGATGATGGTAGTGTTGTGGTCATAGCATGGCAGCGCTCAGTTTCTCCCTACTTCCCATTTCTCAAAACATCAGTTAATCCAAGCAGAACTCTGACATAAAGCTTTTCCCCACAGAGCTAGCACAGGAAATTCCCAGTGAGTAGAGATAATTCCTCACCACTTTCAGAAAAATAAGATTTTTTGTTTTTTTCTTGTCACGAACTGCTTTTTGGCCTTTATACATCCAGATACACATCAATCAAAAATGTAAAGATGAAATAAAATTAATGCATTGAATATTTCACTTGTAAAGTGCACAGGGAAACTACAGGGCATGTCTAGATACCAGCATCATCAAGCCTCAACAGTCTGCTAAGAGTAATTTAACAGTGCATGTATTCCCTCTCTTACCATGAGCTGTCAGTAAATTCAATAATTGGGGCTTGAAATTGCTTGTTGCTGGTGCTATCTGAAAGGCAAAGAGATAGGGATGAAGATAGGAAGAGACCATGTGCTGAGATGGAGGATGTTGTTTTCAGTTCACTCAATACTAGATTGATTTTATACTGGTGTACATCAAATGTTTTCAACATATTTGTGTTGTTTTCCAGCCAAGAAATATCAAGCAGCTTACAACACATTTGCTTAAATTTGTGTAGAAGAACACGCTTGCTTTGAACTTTATATAAAACTAATTATGATAACATGTATTATTGAATGCAGGGAACTACAAGCACTGGAAACAATAAACATGTCTTATCTTTGCACCTCTGTGAATGACAATACTTCAGGTTTTTAAGAGTCACAGAACATTTTTTTACCTTTGGCATATCTTGTTCATCTGTTAGTTCTCACTGAGCGAGGCTGTAGTGCAGGAAGACAGCCTAGCAATATTTGGTAAATCTCATTTTACCACCAGAATTCTAGAAATTTGTAAGTCTTGTATAGATAAACCATGCTGTGGACTGTTTTACTGTGAAGTGCTTTTTTTCCAAGTCAAAATATGAACAAAATTGTATTAGAAAAAATTCTGGCTTAACAGTAAAACAGTAATTATTTATGAGTATTGATATAAAATATCAACAATTTTTAATGCAATAAAAAATATACTCCTCGATTTTAACTATTTTTGAAATTCTTAGAGTATAGAACATAAGGAGCTACTTATTGCAGCTCAGTAGGTGTTTCTTTTTTCTTAACTTTTATTGTTTCATTTTGGTAGGTGTTGTTTTGAGGTGTTTTTTTTTTGTTGTTTTTTTTTTTTGTGTGTGTGTGTGTGTGTGTGTGTGTAACTATTAGGATGTAAGGTCAAGATAAATTACATTTTCTACCCATCATTTTTCTCCTAGAGTATCTCTCGCATCAGCATTTCCCTCAAGCTATACTCATGCTTCACCAGTTTTTTAAGCACAACAAGCAATCTAGAGCTTGCCATCTCACAGCTGAATCAATCCAGCTCACAGGAGAGGATATTATATTATTCTTCCTGCTTGGCACACATCACTCCCTTGAACGTATTTGCTCCTCTCTTCTGTTTAATAAGAGAAGCTTTGGCCTTTGGATCAAATGTCACTTGCAGTACCTGCTGGAACAGTGATTTGTATTACGGATTTGCAGCAAAATCCACCACAATTATTATGAAAATTTTCCTTAGGAATAAGTGGATCCAGGGAAAAAAAGCAATGAACCACAGGCAGACATATAGACAGCTATTGGAATGGACAAAGCTACTTCACTTCAGTCCTTTTAAATATCTCTATGACAAAATTGCCTGGGACATCTGGACACCATGGTCAGCTCAGACTCAGCATATTCTTTCTCATGTGAAGTTGTGGAGTATGGAAGACTACAGCCAAGCATAAGTCCTGACAGTATGTGTTGCATCAATGTCTACTGTGCATAACTGCAGTTGTTTACTCTCTGCAACCACCATACAGTCAGTGCAGTGAGCCCCTCACCTGCATTGCTTTCCATGGGACAAGGAGAGAGGGATATCCAGTAAGGAGTGTAAGAAGGTTTTACCATTTGTCCACGCTGCACACACCTGACACAGAAACAAAGAAAACAACTGGAACTGCTTGAAACAATTTGAATACATCCTTACTTGAAGTTAAACAAGAATTTCATCCCTTTGCATGAGTCTTCCCTAAATTATAGCCTCATTTGTAGATTAAATTTGCCTGAGGACAAGAGTTTTCAAAGGAGTTAGATAATCTACAGCCATCCAGGGTATCCAGAGACATAATTAATAGCTCCAAAAAAAGGGAATGAAGTTTAAACATTCATGTTTCAGATATTACAGTGTGGCAAGGACGTGTTTTGTATCTTTGTAGCCTGAGCTTGGGAAAAGAGCTTCCTTAGATTTTTTCAAGCATCTCACCACTGACAGAGACAGATTACTGAAATAGATGGTCTTTAGGTCTCATTCGGTTCTTAATCACTGGATCCTGTGATGCAGTCAGATAACATTTTTCTTCCTGAGCACATTAAAATATGTAGGCAAACCAGATAACATTTTCTAAGCTTATTTAATATTTCTAATGTGGCTGTCAGTTGGCTTATGAAATGTTTACCTTTATAGTGGTTTTCACTTTCCTCTTAATAAGTTTTCTCTTTGAAAATTAAACCAAACCTTGATATTGTGCAAAGATATTGCCAGTACTGCTGACCATACAGAGTGCTGAGTTTCCTGAGGCCATTTTATAATTAAATGCTGGAATATGAATGAGTTTACTCACTCATAGAAGAAGATACTGCATTTGAAATCTTCCCAACATAATTTATTCTTTTAAACTCCATCACCTAGTGTTCTTAAAGTCTACCCAGAAATTAAATACTGTTCTGTGATGGTGCAAATTCCTGCATGGCATTCAGCCACAAAATTTTGGACCTCTGTACAAATGAAGGCCAGATGAAGCAAGGCGAGTACAACCAAAAAGCCTGTGTGATGTGCAGGCATAAGTTGTATACTCTGCAGTGTTACTGAAATTGTAAATTCAGAATCCCCAGCTTGCACAGTTGTGAGTCAAATCAAAGTAAAACAAGCAACTAATTTCAAGTGGATACTGCTTCAGACCACCTAGAGTCCCTCTGATCGAGTTACGCTGTCGGGCAGTGGTATGTACTATTAGAGCTGCCCTACTGTGGGAAATTGGGTCAAAAATCTCTAGCAAAGCCAGATTGCTTCCTATTTTTATTACTATTTTGTGATTTTTAATGGTCTACATACCAAGCCCTCCAGCAGTTCAAAAAAGACATGTCCACAGCTTAATATGGGGCCCATCAGAAGACATGTGGCTACAAGCAAATGGCAATTTTCTCATATTTAGGCTTATTCTCTCACTTGTCAGTGGCATTTTTTTCCCTATAGAGGTACTAAACACACACATGCAACACAAAAGCTCCTGCTATCCTCTAGTCTTTCCATCTGCACTGTGGTGTCATGACTTTCTAAATTGCCATCGTGAACATCCAAAGAGGAATTTTCTACTTTCTCCCCGCACAACTTCTGTCTTAATGCACTGAACTCTTCCATTACTCATGTTTACACCTTTTAAAAATTCCTAATCATGATTTCCAGCCAGTCTAGACGTGAATAGTTCATTTTATCATTCTGCAGAGTGCATGCTTTCCTGACCCACTAACCACTTTTACAGCTTCTCTCTAAACTCCCTCCAAATTAGTCAACATCTTTCTGTTAATGATGCATTCAGAGTTAACCTAAAAGGTGAAAAAGCATCACTAAATGAGCTCCTTTCTACACTAGCGGTGGCTTAAATGAAAGTAAGCTCCAGCAAAAAAAGTTGACTTTAATGGTACTAGCAGCTGAGAGAAAAGTCTGCTTAGAAGTGGAGCCACAAGGCAGATGGATGGTTACAGGAATTTTAACAGACCAATATGCTAATGTGGAGATGCCAATAAACAGAATCATTTGGATGAATATTTGATGGATTCAGGGCAACATCATAAGATTTTCAATTTAATTAAAAAAGGCCTAGGAAACCAGAGAAAAACAAAAACATGTTCTCTTCATACTCCTTAAAGGAAATTGTTTTGAGTTTTTTTCCAGTCCAGTAATAGGAAACTTTAAAAGAACAAGAATGGCAAGTACACAGTTTCTTTACTTACTTTCAGAAAAGGAAAGAACTGATCTAGCTATTGCTTCTGACTAAAGCAGGAGGGATATTTCAGACAAGGAGCTTGTGGGGGGGAAGAGATTGCATTTCCTAATCATACATGCTCTTCCTCTGTATCCACGGACTGCCATACAGTTTCTTTGGTGTAACGAGTGAGCAGTGACACAGAATGTCATGGAACTGCTTGGACTATAAAATATTACTGGTTGTGTGGAGAGATTGGTATTAAAATATTAAAATATCTGCTCAAGAAAAGCAATAATCAGAATGCTAAAAAATGGAAGAAATTAAATGTCAGTCTACTCATGCAATTGCTAAGGAAAATATTTAGTCTTTTGTATCTTAGTTACATGAGCACTAATTCTATGACAAAGAATCTCTGGCAGGGCTATAAAGAAAAAATAAGTGTAAAGCCAATTTCAAAATCAGATTCAATATCAAATAATGAGAATATTTCCAAAGATTCACAGAGCTGAGAATTATCTCAAAACATTTATGGAAATTCTTAAGAAATTACAACTTCTATTGAAAGAGAAAAGAATTCTTGTAAATTTTTAATCTAAGCTACACAGACAATTATATTAATAAGAGCAAATTATATCATGAAATATTTAGTTTTTCTCTATGCTAAATATTACTTTGAACATGATTCTCCTGAGAAGATTTGAAAGTTCAAGAAATACATAGAAACAAAACAGGAACAACTATTAAATATAATTTTGAAAATGTATTCATAGCATAGAGCATTGCTTCCATCATTACTTAAAAAATGAAAATACTTTGGTGAGCTATTGCATTTTATTCTTTTTGTAGACAGAGAAAAAAACATAATAAATACTTTGTGCAATATGTTCATTTAATAGACAAACATCTCATGTATTATAGAACACATAATGTACAATTAACATCAAAGTTATGGCAGAAATGCACAGCTATTTATTAATGCCTACATTTACTTTGTATTATGCCAAAGCTAACCAGCCATGTATTTGCTATCATCTACAATATGTCTTGATAATTAATCCAATTGTGAAATTTCCTAAATTGTGTGCTGCTGTGGCTTTTGTTGTATGGCTCCTCAATGTGACATTACTTCATAATTAATGCATGCCACATTTCCTGTAGGAAGTGCATTGGTTTCGAGCCATCCCAGTCCTTAGCACTGACTCACCACTGGGTATATCTGCACTGACCCACAGGCTGGGTCCCCATTCTCACCCAAACACTGGCCTTTGACTGTCCATGCACCACCCAACAGTGCTGAGATGTCAAATCCCAAGAGTTTACCTGACTGTTAGGTGACTGTAGGAGAGCACATTGAAGACACAATGTAAATGTGGACAAGTCCTCCCTCAGGCTGTCAGCTCCTCCCAGGTGGGAATCACAGCTACAGGGAGGCTACCCTGAAAAAGACAAGCATGTGTTTCTGTAAACAAGAGTTCTGCTCTTACATTTAATACAATTAACACTTGTACTGACACATATCTATGCACATTTTATATATATAGAAAATAAATATAATTTATATATATTCATATGCACACGTGTGTGTATACATTCATCATACAATCTACACAGAAGTCCTGCACACACACCCTCCCCATCAGAAATTATTATTAAGTATTATCTATATTATTATTATTATATATATCTATTATTTCTCCAGAGCATGCTCAGAACCTGCTCTGCAATAAGCTCTTCAAAAGTTTCTGTGCATAGGACACACTTTCACTATATTTGTCTATTCCTTTTCATGGATTTTGTCTGCCCTTCCTTTCTGCTCTTTTCTTCCGACTTTCACACATATAAATTCATTTATTTTCTCATTTTTATCTCTTTCTTTTTTTGTCTCTTGCTCGTTCTAGCCCACTCAGTTTCCTAGCACCTATTCCTTTGGGCTACGGTTTTGATTTGTGCTTTCTCCATTTTGTTTGGAGGCCGATAAAGGAGGGAGCAAGTGGCCCCATGTGTACAGAAGCAGGGATGCAGCACAAAGTGGAGCATATGAGCTGGCTGCCTGGCATGTCACATGGCAAAGGACATGAAAGAGAAAAATTACAATTATGAAAGCCCGTAGTTCAAGGAGAGAAGCTGCAGTAAAGCATGGGGAGCTGACAGTCTGACCTCAGAGGAGAAGAGCAAATAAACCTGCCCAGGAATGAGAAAGAGGGCTGCATAGTTTGCTGCAGCTCAGAAACTCCGAATTAACAAAAAAAAAAAACCCTGCAAACCAAGAGGGACCTGCATGGGGAGAGAGAAAGAGATGCCCAGAAACATTTTTCTTCTTGTTCTGTCTCACCTAATTTCCTGGAGGATTTGTTTTGTTTTGTTTTTATTTTTGGTTTAGAAGGTAACTAGCCAAGTATGAATTTCAGAAAAAAAAAGACACATTTATTTATCTATTTAAGGGCCTCTGCTCCTTCTTGAAAGCCTGAACTGCCAGAAACAGAAGGCAGTCCCACCTCCACTTGAGCTGCAATGGGGGCCCTTCACAACCACAGAGTGAGGCAGATTTTGCTCTTCGGTTAATGCACAAGGAGGTGGAAGAGTCCAAGTTTATTAGACTGAAATATGATTTTCCCAAATCATTCAAAATTGCTCCTTCCTCCCCTCTTAATTTTTTAAATGCCTGAAAGCTTTCCTATACTCAAGTGCCTACTTTGGAACTGTGTTACAACTTGTTTTTTTTGTGAAAGCTATGTCTTACATATAATCACTTCCCACTTCTCTTTCCACTCTTCCTAATACTAAATAATGCACAGAAGGCCTCACCTGTTGTTTGTAATGTGCAGGACAATCATCCATGCATCTCTCCTTCCCTGCTGCCAAGGAGCCCCTTTGGATCAGCTGCCCTTGGGTAGAAAATTCATTGGTCAACTGCTGTGGTCTTCAGCAGGCTTTGCAGCAATCTTTGGCACCCTCAAATCTTGAATTTTCTCACCTCAGACACATTTCCATATACGTATGCATAAGGAGAGAGGGAGAAGAAACTTCTGGGGCTGCTGCACCAGAGTCTTCATGGATGGAACCAAGTTTGCATTCAGGCACTAAACACTGAACTGAGTTGAAAACAAATATCAGTTTTCATTGCAACCTTAGAGCTCTTTTGTGGAAAATTAATTCATGAGAATAGTAAGTCAATTAATGTGTTAACTTTGCTGTTCCTTCAAAGAGCTTTCACAGCTGCATTAATATAAATGTTCCAATATCTTTTGGGATTGTTCTCCTTGCACATATACCTTATGCTTAACATAGGAACTATCTCAGTGCCTGGACAGCCATTTCAGAGGTGGCCTCAGCATCCAAGTCCTGCCTCTAAATTCCAGTACACGTAGCTATGATTTTTTATTTCATCTTCTATCTTTATGAGCCATTCTTGTACCATCACTACCCCACAAGCTGGTGTTCAACTCAGTCACAGATGGCAATCCCATGCATAGGCCTCAGTGATTTCCTTGTTGACTGCTTACGAATGAACTTTTTACACCTAAAAATTAACCAAAACAAAGGCACAGCAAAAGAAAGCAGAGGCACAGAGATAATATATCTCATGGGCTACCGACAGTGTGGAATATCTGCCCAACTAGGAGGCCATAGAGATATGTGCTTCCATTGGGTTTTATGAAGAGCTAGATAGGTTTTGTCAACAGTAAAAGCATTTTCAGCCATACCACAGCAGCAAATACAATCAAGGCAAGGCAACCTTGTGGTCCAGGCAGTGCAGACAGTTCCGTGATGAGTCTCGACCTACACATCTCTGCTGGGCAGGTTGAGGTTCTGTGCATAGGGTGTAGGGTCAGCTTTGGGGTTTGATGGTCCGAACACACACAGCGCACTGTATTTTCTGGAAAAAGAAGAAAATGAAAGCCAAGCTAGGGCAAAGAGGAGGAAAAAAAAAACAAACAACAGGTCAAGTTTTCAAGTTAGCAGAGGAGAAATGAAAATAAGATTTAGTAAGAGATCAGCTTTAACTCTGAAACAAATCCAGCAGGCATTTGTGATAGCATATAGCTGTTATCCCTATGATGACAAACACCAAAACAGATCACTTCTTTTGTGTCTGAAATAGGCCTTTGTCCTAGCTCCATAGAAGAGCAGCCTGGACTGGATGATGCAAACAGTGTTATCACAGTGCTGATGCTCTGACAAGGTGCTTTGTGAGTAAACCAAGGTAAGTTTTATTGCCGTGTATCTAGTTATCTGTCCAAACAATACTTTTAATTTTCATTTTTTGTCATTAAGATAGATTCACTCTGAGTTCTTTCTGAGTAGTAAGGCAAAAATATGCCTTCCCTGCAACTGCATTATTTCCTTCCCATGCATTCACTTTTCAACAGCATATACAATTGTTTGATACACACTTATATAAGTATACATAAAATGATATTTTCATGCGCAAAAATTAAAGAAAGCTCAGTCTTTACATCAACACCTGAAAAGACCTGGATAAAGCACACTGAATTTAAAACATCATCTGCCATAGCAAAAAAACCCCACAACTTTTCCAGGGACAGATGCTCAGATAAAGCAGCAAAGCTCCTCTGAAGTGAACTGAGCCATGATAGCTTCAGCTACAGATTTTGTCCATAGCAAACACCTCTGTGGACTGATCCTGATCCTGGAGAAGTCAGCCATGAAATTCCACATATTTTCAGTAGGGCAGAATTGGTCCCAGTGTATACATAGAGCTGAATTGCTGAAAAGATGAACGAAGAAAAAGGCATCGTAAAGTTCCTGGTTTGCTAAGCAGATGGGGGAAAGAAGTCCAATTATAGTGTAAAGCATCATTTCACTAAAAGAAGTGTGAGTGCTGGAAGAGCTCTGAACAGAGGGGATTTTGCTCTGCCATGTGCAGTCTCCAGGAAACAAAAGGAAGGGTGTGACTGAAATGAAGACAGGCAGAATGTAATATTTTCCTTTGATGTGTAAACAGATTTAATGCAACAAAAATCAATGAGGAAACTCTCCAAAGGAGAGTATTTTAATGTGTTATCATATTTCACATAGATTTCATAAAAACTCAATTTCAATTATAGCACAGTTTACAAACAGTGCTGTGCCTCCCTGGAAAACATATGGCCATCAAAACTTCAAACAAAATACTGCCAAAGCCTCTCATAAAAAATAAATACCCATAAGCCAGTGTGTTATTGTCCTTATAATGTTTGTTGAATGCCTATAATTCTTCGCGTGTCCGCCTCGGCTGTCAGCTTTCTGACACTCTGCTCTCCCTTCCACTTACCTCCCATGGAAGATGTCTTGGAGACAGAATGCGAACAGGAAATATAGTGTGAGGAGCTTTTAATTATTTTGGATATTATCTTACATTTCCAGCTGGGTTGCTGCAGAAAAAGAAAAAAAAATGTCATAACCAACCCCTTGCAAAACAACAGAATAGCATCAGCAGAGAGACAGTGGCTGAGGGATGGGATGGTGCTGCAGCATCTGCTAAAAATGAGGAAACGGACTGCCCCAACAGCAGCAAATGGTTCCCTGAGATCTCTGGGCTCCTGCACAAGCTCCTGCTTTGATAAATGAATAACTTGCCCCACAGCTCAGTGTGCCCCTGCCTGACAAGCTGTGGTCGTGTTGAAGCTTGACAGAGGGGCACAGTTGGTGTGGAGCACCTTGCCTCTGGTCTCTCTGCAAGAGGCTGTGCAGGATCAGAGTGGTATGCATGCAGGTGGGGGCTCATTTTTGTATTTCTATCAAGGGATTAGATCAAAGTGGATTCTGTGCATTTGTCACGTAGGGACTCAATGTTGCTTAATGCACTGCAGTGTGCAACAAAAGGGCATTTAGAACTTATAGATAAGAAGCTGTAAATAGGTCAAAATAGCCAGTGTTGGCTCATAAGCTGGCTCTTTCCACTTCTGCTAGAAGTTCAAGGGCAGAATGAAGGTAACACTGGGGAGAATGACAAAATTGGCTCTGAAACAGCTCTGACTCAGCACACCAACATACAGCTTACCCTATAACCCAGTGATCACTGCCAGGACATCTGTGTGCCAAATCACTTTTTGTTCAGCAGGGAAATAGGCAAAATTCTATGGAAGAAGAAGTGATGCTTTTTTCCTATCTGTAATTTCCAGAAGAATCCCTGTATCTCTCTGTGCCATTCTGAATCAGCACAGAAATAATCTTCATCCAGTAACAACAAAACTATTCCCTTTTTATCAGTGGAGACTCGTCTCTTTTGTTCTCTAAGGCCATCCTGCTGTCAGAAGGAGACCAACGTGAACAAAAGAAGGGCTGCCATTTTTGAGGGAAGACAAGCTGCCCTGTTCCTTGCTGAGCATCAGCCTTTTTTGCCTCTGTAGTGTGTGCATGGGGAAGGGCATTCACTCATTTCGCTCCTATACAATGCCATGCAGCTCCTCTAGGTTCCAGGGGCATTTGGAAATACTGGGGGGGGGGGGGGGGAGGGGGGGGGAGATACTCGTTTTAGAGGTTTTGCACTGTGCTTGTGCAGTGAAGAGAGAAGCTGGAGATGGAGGGAGGTTAATATGGAGCAAATACTGATAAAGCACCAGGAATGTAGCAGGAGAAATGAAAAAAAAAAAGAAATATGTGGAAGAAGGAAGACATTACTGATAGCGTTAGTGAAGTGTAAGTGTGTGGGAAGAAAATGTGATGGATGCTGGCAAGGGAGGAAGAGCTCACAAACTGATGTATTTCCGTTGTGAGAAAGAGGACACTGTTCAGAGCTATTACTTTTCCTCAGTACACACCTGTCTAACAAAGACTGTGATGGTGGAGTGATGGCAGGCAGTAGCGTGGGCTGTGCCTCTGCAAGGATGCTACAGCTGGCACCATTGAATTTTGCTCTACTTTCACTGGAATAGACATCCTATGTGAAGTTAAAAAGAAGAAAAAAAAAAAAAAAAATGAAAAAACAGAGCCCATGACAGCTAGTCTCTGAATCCTAGGGAGATGGGTCAACGCGCAGCCACTTTGGCACTAATGTGAAGAGCAGGTAGTGACAATCTCAGCCCTGAACTCTCTCTCTCTGCAGGGTTGTCCTCACTGCTGTAGACCCAGCAAGCCTTCATGTAATAGGAGAACTGGGCAAAAAATATGCACTATCTGTAATTGCTAGATACCTCTGGGACAGCCACTGGCTGAAAGGAGCATCCTATATTGGGAAAGGTCACTTGTCTTGTAAGGGGCTGCACATACGATAAAGACATATCTAGGAGAAGATAGCAAAATTTTATTTTTTATTTTTTTTTTTTTTCAGAAGGGATTTGAAATATATCATTGCTATACACCCACTGACATTAATTCAGCATCTACAAAGGATGTGTTCTACTCAGAGCATGGCCAATCATCCCCACATCTGCCATTAGGATTTTGCATGAAAGCATTTAGTGGCACTTTTTTTTTTTCCCCCACAAGTGGTGCATGTCTTCACTAACTGAACTACTTTATATACGTAATATTTTTATAGGTAAGCTCCTAGGGATAGACCGGTATTCAAGCTCATTGGCATAAGTAGCCACCAATAGTGTGGCCTGGTCATCTCTAGAAAAGATATAAAAAGGAAAGGGTGATTTATTTTTTTTTTCCTTTCTTATTACTAACAACTGTACCTAAGATCACAACATACATAACAGAAATACTAAAATTAATCATTCTCCAAATGCCTGAGCAAGTAGCAATGACATAATGTTAAAAACAGATACTTGCTGCTTTCAAGCTAGTTCTGTCAAGATTCATAGATAAATATCCTTGTACAGAAAGATGGGTCTCGTAACGTCTCCCAAAAGAATTTACAAATGGTGGGAAGGCTTCATGTACAATGAAGGCTTCATGTACAATTGTGACAGCATTACAGTGCACAGGAACATGTACTTCTGATGCTCATTACTGCCTACCACCTCAGTCTTTGTGTGTGGTGTGTGGTGTGTGTCCTTAGGATGTATCAGGGAGAGTGGTGGACCTGGTGTAGTGCCTAGAGGAAGGCATGAATCTGTGGGGGCAAGACTCCCCAGAATGGACAAGGTCACATGGTTGGCATGGACAGCACTGCCATGAAGGCTCCATGAAGTCAGGCAATGTTTAGGAAAATGAATTAAATTCCAAAAGAAATGCTTCCTGGGTCTGTGCCTCAGGACTGGAGCAGAGATACCTGGGCCACAGCTTCCTGCAGTGCTGAGGGAAGTGGGGAAGAGAAGAAAGCCGTGGTAGACTTTGATGAGGCTACTCTTGAGTGAATGCACAGTGAATAAAAGACAGCTCTTGGAAACTAATTATTACATAAAAGTGCTCAGTGCAGATGTGTTGAAGATGCAGTTATGAAAGATGAGATTTAGCATCTATTCCAATAAAACCTGCGTCAAATGACAGCCAAGTCTGACACAGTTAATTAAAGCAGGGTGCTCAGACAGTCATGTATAGACAGCAATAAACAGCTTTTTCAGTTGATTAAACAGCAAAGGCTGGGGCTTTAGGCAATACTTTTAGGAAATACTTGCTGCAAGTGCACCTAAATGCTGCAGTATTGCTGTTCCCAACCTGGCAGGGAAGCCCTTGGTGCATTCAGATAGCTGTCCCATTAGCACACGCTAATAAATTATAATAAATGCCCACAAGGTGTCTGGGAGAAAGCAAGGCGCATGGTGAAGCAATTTGCTGGGCCTCTAACAGGTAGGAAGGGTGTTTGGAAGTGGGCATGCATTCTTTGGGATGGTTTGGTTTTTCCACTTGCTTTTAAAGATGCTCCTGTTGGTTTTTTTGACAGAGAAAAGATGTGCCAGAGCACTGATAAAGGAGTTTGGGAGCACTGAGACTTATTCTTAGTGCAATCAGCTTCCATTGTTCATAGCTTTCAGCTCTCATCTTCAGCAGCAGTGTCACAGGCATGCAGTACGACAGCCAACGTTTACACATGTAACAGTAAAGTGCCTTTCCACAGATTATGTTTATAGCCAAGAAAAGAACAATAGAGAAACAAGAGAAGCATTGTATGCCTTTCACAGCACTCTGTCATTAACAACAGCATCCTGCAGCCATTCTTCCTCAGCAAGGAGTTTTACTGAACAATTCACTAGGAATATGGAAGACTAAAGCTCGCTGTGAGTGAATTTCTGCTTTCCATCTCACTGGGTTCCTTAAGCACAATTAACCCCCTCTCACTGAGAATGCCACCAGCTGTACTTATACACTTTGACACTGGTATCCCAGGATTTGTGAGTATGGTTCATATTATTGATACGAGTTCCTGCATTTATAGAATAATCAAATGGATGAGTACAATTCATCATGATGAGTACATTCATCATGAGAAAAGTAGTATGGCAAAATTTTTGTTATGTTTTCTTTCTCTTGTAAGCAACAATAGATTTCCTAGGCTCTTCAAGATGGTAAACACTGTAGGAAATGGAATGAAGGGACTTCCTACTAAAAATCTCAGCAGAGAACTGCCAACAGTGCAATAAATGTAATATAATATCGTATAACACAATGCAATACAATGCAAGCTGCCTGCTGGTGTCAGAGGACTGACAGGAAACGGCAAGTTATTGGATACAAGGGCTCATCAACAAAGCTAATTATCTCTTATGAATTGTTAATAGGTAAAAAATATTTTTATTGTATACGATCCAGAGAACAAAAAGAGGCTAAAAAATCATATGGAGGAATGAAAGAGCAGGATGGACACATTTCTAGAGAATTTGTGCTGGATTCATTTATCAGTCTGAGTTTTCCAGACTCAGGAGCCAAGCAGAGCTTCTTTTCAAATCCGTGCGGAGCTTAAAAGTAGTAGAGAAAAGCAGCAATTCAAAATGAGTTTTAGTAATGAGGCTGCTCTTCACTTTTCACAACAATGGATTTTTTAAAAGATTTGTCAAAGAGAATTGAATTTGGATCCGTGAATACTGCAGTAAATGATGTAACTCGAGTTAATTAAATTCCATCACCCAAGAAATACATTTTTTCTGTCTTCCAGCAGATGTTTGCTACAGCCATAGTCTTGGTGGAAGCTAAGCATTCATTTTAGATCAACAAGTTTTACTTGTGAAGCTATTCCGAGTATACTTCAAACATATGGAATAGTCTCATGAGCAAAAGCTATTTAGAATAGGAAAGATGCAAAAGTAAAGCTAATGTGAATCAGCTCAATAATCTTTTTTTGTTAAGTTTTGGTGCAAGTATAGGTATGCACCTCACCAAGAACAACCTTTACTTTGGGAGGAGGTGGAGTATTGCCAGGCTTTCGCCCTTGGGAATACTAATTACAGTACACACCACCAAGGATCTCCATCAACACTCAAATGAGTTTTGGAATTGAGAAGCAAGTGACTAAAGTGTTACTTGCAGCATTAAATCATGGGGTGTCCCAAGGTGCACAGCAATATGATAAAAAAGTTTTTCTCTCATTTTGTGGAACAGATACTATGAGTATCATTTCACATCCAGATACCTGCCCATCAGCAGTATCCAGCCAATGTTCATTACCACGACATTACTAATATTTTTCTAAAAACACAAGTACACATGATGCTTGTATGTATCAGCAAACACAGGGCAGCAGTATTTTACTTCAAAATGCACCATTTTTCTTTTTTTCTTTCACTTGAATACTTTCAATAGCAATATGTGTTCTTACAAGGGTTTCAGACCACAGATTTATGCTCTACTGGTAACTACACTGTACTTTCAGCAATAAACTCTATTCAGAAAAAAAAACAAAAAACCATAAAATCTCATGTGCCCTGACTGCACAGTGAACCTAAAAAAAAAAAATGTATCATTAAGAAGCAGGTTTGCTACACAGAATATTGAGCAGCTTTAATTTCTGCTGTACATTCTCACCCACACTGAACAGTGAACTCCTGAGCTCACACGCGAAACATCCAATGACAGGATTTTAAATCCTGGAGCATAAAGAAACTAATTTAATCATCCCAAAGCATGTTGATAAAATAGTTAAGTAGATTAGATTAAAATTCCGCACTTGCAATGTTTTATGAGCAAAGCTGCTTAGTCCTATGGGTAGCATTTTTCTTTGCAGTAGTCCAAGAAAAGCATCACAAACAGTTGTGTTATGTACACTGAATACATGTTACTTATATCATAATAATTGCTCAGTTCTTGGCAAACTCAGAATTCAGAGTACTCATAAAGAGCAAGTTATGTGCATATCCATTTCCTATTAGAAATTTAATTACGTGGAACCAGGCTATGAAAACTAGAAATTTTGCTTCCTGCTCACGTGCCTGGACTTCAGAAGTCATCTGTGTGTTTCTGTAGTACCTTAGCCCCAGATATTGCCAAATTAAGTGCCACCAGATCTCATAGTGGCAGAAGAAACACTCACAGATGCATATTTTCATACACAAATATAAGGCTTTGTCAATACCATGAGCAGAAACAAAACAGTGGGTACATCTCAGTGGTGATCAGTACTGATTTCCCCCTAGCTTGGCATGCAGAACGGTTGTGGAGAATCATTAAAAGCCTTCAAGATGGAAATCACAGGATAAAAAGTAGGATAATGGATTGCTTTGTTTTGTAAGGCTGCTGTCACTTATGTCAACGAGCACCTTCAATAAATTCATACAATTTATATGAATTCATAGCAATGAAAACTAAAATGTGAGATGTCTTTGTTACCATAAGCTTCTATTTCCCAATGTATTTCTTTAGAAATATCCATTTACATGAATTCTTGTACTTTATAAGGTTCTCATAGTCCCCTCATTGTCTTGAAGCAAGTGCACATCTTTGTATACGTCCATGAGGGAAGCAAACTAGACTAGACAGCTGTCTTTCACAGCTGATGTGTCTGATCCCAAGAGAAGGTCAGCATACAGTGGCAGCAAGAGTGAATGCAAGAGCCACCAGGGAGAAAAAAAGCTTGCAATCACTGCAATTACACATAACAGACCTAGTGCTTTATATAACCTTATCATTTCCCTCCCTGAAGGAAATATATGGTCAGAGTATTCCTGTGAGTACCCACATTCACTTCCCTTACCTTCTTTCTTGCTCTTTGAGATCCATATTTTAGCACGAAAAAAAATTCATATTTTAGCTGAGGAAAAACAAAGCAAAACAAAACACCAAGCCAAAACAGAAAAATTAGAAAGAAATAAACAGACAAAAGAAGGCCTGGGAATGCTATGATATGCTAGCTATTGGAACTGCCATCTCAAAGAAAGCTGCTGTCCATTTGAAAAACAGATTTTTCTTCCAGCTTATGGCCTAAATCAGGAAAATTCAGTCATTCTCCATTGTATAGGAAGAATAACACAAATGTTATTTATTTTCCTGAAGGTTAGCAGCATTCAATTAACACCAAAATATCACACACCCTGGTCGGTGTGGAACAGACTCCTGGGGTGTTTGTTGACTTTCCACCCCAGTGCACTCAGTAAATACTACGGATTGCTCGACCTGCAAATCTTCACCAAAGTACATCTACGTCAGTCCAACCTTTAACAATTATTTCCCTTTCTTTCATCTCTTGGCTTAATTGTAGTGGTGGGTATGTGACAGCTGAAGGGAAAGCTGTCGATTTTGAACCAGAGTATAATGGGAGCTAGGTGGGTCTTAGGTACCTACCTCCTTTAGTGGCTGTGTCCCTCATATGCCACCCAATTGGTTTTCTGCAGAGAGCAGGTCTGCATTTTCACATCTTGTGGTCAGTCGCTAGTGCTAAACTGTTAATGGACTCACTCATCTCAAGAACTACAAACGCAGAACATCACTGCTTTCCTGCCGATGCTATGAGTATCATCAGACAACTTAATCACACCTGTACCTGTGGCTCTGCATTTAAAAGACACTTGAATAGTGTTGTGCCAATTAAGTGTAGACTATTACAAGGGTAAAATATGTGACTCACAGCTTACCACTGTAATTTTATCCTTGACATTGAAATGAAACACAAAAATGACCATTAGTTCCATTTAGAGGGGGAGATTGTAGTGAATGTTGCACCTCTCAACAAGTTTTCAGCCACTCACAAGTTACTCTCATAGCAAACCCACAGGATCGTAGTCCCTGTGACCTGAAAGTGATGAACTTCTACCCTGATCCTTTGTACAGCTCTAGTCAAATTCAATCTTTGCTGAAGTAAAGCATTATCCATTTAGAATGTCATTTAGTTTTTATTTAAAGACCTGAAGTGGGAAAGACTGCAACAATAACCCTTGGTAATTTGACTGAGTAATAAACATCCTCACTGATCGAAAACAAAACCTCAGAACTAAACAAATCTACTATCCCGAACATTATCAAATTTAACTCATTTGATTCTATTTTAATCCCATGGATTCAACACTCATTTGTACTTTTCCATCCTGCCTCACCGAGTGACCTCAGATTAAATGACCTCTTCAGCTGTTCTTTGTACTAAAGAACCTCGCAAAGCCATAGGTATTTTTTAAAAATCAATTACCCATTTCAGTCCCACAGTTTAACTGTGCACTTTCCTCAGCTGCACTGTTCAAGCTACTCCTAAGTTTCATACAGTTAGCATTTTATCTTTTTTTTTTTTTTTTTTTTTTTTTTTTTTACATTTAGTCATTTTGTTGCAGTTTTGGCATTACTGATTCATTATCTGCATTACTGACAGTGCTTCAAAAGATTCAGCCTGCTATTGTGAAATAAGGCAGGGCAGAGACAGCAGAGACATTCCTAAAAGTTAACAAAGCTCAGAGATCTCTTTGGAAAACGATTAGGATTGCTTTGTAGTACTATGCCTTGTTGTGTTGGTATAGCAGTAATAAAAGTAGATCTATCAGCGTAGGACAATGTTCATGATTTTCTGATATTCAGAGGTTTTCAGAAAAAAATGCCTCTTGCCTTTTTACAGATTGATTCCTTGATTTGCTGAAAAGTGAAGATATTTGCTCAGAGTTCCACTTTGATTTCAGGAGAGGTTTCTTCAAGCTTGAGCTTAGCATCAGCAAGAGATCAGTGCATATCTTCATTTGCAGAGTAAGACTTAAAAGCAAAGAAGTGACAATTTAGAGTTGTGTGATTGTTTGATCGTTTACTCTTCTGAAGAAAGAGGTGGCAATGAGAGCAGCCACTTATCACCCATCAGCATTATCAAATAACTGATGGTCCAGAGCTGCAGTGAAGAAGGACCACATAACACTTTGGGCTTCATTTTGCCACCCACAGCCTGACTAAAGACATCATTTCAGTATGCTTCTCGATCACGAGTGGTAGCGCAAAGCTGAGATGATGTGTACACCAGAGTAAGGTCATCTTATCAGCTTCATTTTTGCTCCTCGCTTTCTTAAAGTTGTAGAAAGAAGTTTGGATTGCCTATGATGGATAGGAAAATCAGCTTTAAACATCAGCAACAGAAACTGTATGATAAGAGAAGGTCAGAAAATACTAAGACTCGTTGTTTAAGGACAACATTGACACTTCAAAAATGGGAGAGAAATGCCAACAGAGTCTGGTTTAGCTACATCTGATTCTGTTTGGAGATATGGAGAAGGCTGATGCCACACTGAGATCCTATCAAGACTTATGATTCTGCATTTGTTCTCTTTAGTTAAGTAGTTTCCTCTCCTCAGTACTGTCTGTGGTTCTCTGTCATCTGTAATGAGGATGACTTTGCTTTTCTATCATTCAAATCTGGCAGAAACATTACAAGTTTTTAAATTTTAATTTGAATTCTACAAATACAGGAAGTACAAAGAAAGGCTGCAGTCCAGTACAAGAAGCTCTATTTCATATTAACTGTATCCATAGAAATGCAGCTAATTTACCTGACGTTTTTTCAACCTGCCATTGAAATACTTCATAGAGTAGTTAGTTTAAAAAACACACACACACACACCTAAAACGTTAAGGGAATAAAAATGCATTTGAGTACTGTGAAATGTGAATAATTGAAAATCATGTAGAAAATAAGATGCTGTTGGTTACCGAGTCTGACAAACTTTGGATAAACATTCATACTCTCTGAAATAGCTGAAAACAAAAATTAAAAGAATCCTCTGAAATAATTTCTCTGCTATATATAATACATTGTGTGATTTACTAGCTAGACTGTTTTTCTTCTTTTAGTGGTCAAAGCAGCTTGAAACAGGACACCCAAAACTGACAAGTGTAGCCTGTGGAGCCCCTCAAGGATGCAGTGGGGAGTCAAGGCAATGGGTAAGAGATATTACCTGTCTGATTTACAGTTTTGCCTTACCTTCCTATGTGGAGTGCCTGGTTGTTACCTTGCACCTTGATCTCTTGCAAAACTCCTGCCAGCTAAGGGAGAATTAAACAGAAGTATTTTTACAATATCCACATTTAAAATAGACCATGTAGTTGCAAGTGAACAAAACCCAAATTTTAGCACATTCCTTTTTCGTTTGTATTTAGCCAGTTTGCTTGCATCCTTCTGCACACCTCCTGGAATCTCCAACTTTCTGCTCACCTTTAAAGCTGCATCCTTGGAGACATCCAGCCTTGGCAGATAACATGTCCATGCAGACAAACATCTTTTGCACGCCTCCCAAAGGCTAGTCTCAGATTCAATCTTTTTCCCTGAAACTTGCTGTTGCAGAATTGTGTAGGTGTTTTTGGTTAGTTAAGAAGCACATTGGTTCACTTCCTCTGGGCCACAACTATGGCATAACTAGGTCAAGAGCCCTCTCCTTTCCTGATGGGCTAATTCACTGCACTTGTCATACTGAAGCGTAATGCTTCCTACCCCCTCCCCTTTAGAGAATCACCAAGCACATTTCAGTGTGAAGTGTCCTCCTCAGTGAACTTACATATTTTACATCATGCTGTACAAATAATCACTCTCGTTGCAGCAGCTAAATGGAGCTTAGAAGTTTGCAAGTTATTGGTTTTTTTTTCCCTACATGATGTGGTAGCAATTAACTACACTAGTGACAATGAGTGTGGGGTGTCTGACCTCGTTATTTTCATCTGAGATAGGCTCTAACAACTCTTCTGATAATAATGATGCCAACAAAAATAGGAGGTGATACAGAACTTTATGACAGGTTGTCATTTTGTACTTGTTGGATCTGGCTCTTTAAACAGACAATATAATCACTGCTTTTTAATTATCTTGTCATTATAGTCAATGTTTGCTATTTCAGTTGGTGCTAATGTGCTTGTTAACCTAAATTATCTTATTCCTTCAGTTAAGCATTCGGTTTTAAATTGTATATATATATATATATATATATAAAAGAATCTGTTTTATAAGACATGAGGCAAAAATATGTTAAGGTTCTCAATTTGGAACCTCCCTATTTACAAATACTGAAATAAATTACACATTTTTAAAAAAATACTTCTAGCAGTAGGTGCAGATGTTAATGTATGTAATTATATATATATATATATATATGAACGTCGTAGTAGAACAGAGAACAAAAAAGTCAATTTGCTCTGTTGATCATAACATTTAAAAATAACGCAGTATTTTGTTGTAATGTTGGTTAGGCACTGTGGTTTAGTCAGCTGTGATTAGTTCAGTGACAAGATCCCTTCTTCAATCCCTTAGCACTTATTAAATTTATAGTTAGGCTGATCGATGCATGATAAGAGCAGGCAAACAGTTTGACCAATATTCTTAAAACCGGGAAGACAACGTATTAGATTTATGCACAGCTTCAGCTGCTGGGTGTGTGCTTCTGCTTCAGAAATCACAAGTTTGATCTACGGAAGTGGGGCCAACAGCAGTTGTGACGGTTTCCCATCAGCCCCCCACACAGCATGTGATAACGCATAATCTGCATTTCCTCTGTAGTCCTTCAGTGCATGACATTACTTTTGACTGTCACCACAGTACTAGGAGATTACTTTCAGCTCTTTGCCTTGCCATGTCCCAGTGACCTTGCATATTTAATCATAATTGGAAGTCAAGTGACTTTTGCAAGACATGAATGTTAATTAGCTTTCAAATTGCTAAAGAGGGTACTTCGTCTGGAGATCCTCTGATTGCAGTAATTAATTAGTTGTGCGAGGTCAGCCTCCTGTCTTGCACAGTTCATTGAGCAGCTTCTTTTCAAATATTTATAAAGATGTTTTAGTACCTATCACTGAAAGCTACATTAATGCTTTAATTTTTAGCAGAAAAGGGACAGCCTAATATTGTTGGACTTAGTGATTTAGTACTAGTATATATAATAGCAATCTCAAATTAATGATTCCATTATGTTATATTTTTAAAATGTCAATTAGGAATAGGAGAAAAAAGATATTTGATCCCACAGCATAAAAAATAAACTGAAAAGGTGAATTAAAGCTATAATTGTAGACTAATTAGCATTAAAATATTGTTAAGAGGAGTGAAGTATTAGGATTTTAGAAACTTCAAAATGAATAGAGTACCTAAATGTATGCAGAAAATTGTCACACACCTTTAACAAAGGCATAACATCTTCTGACAAGTGTTGGGTGGGATGTACCAGGCCATTACAGTGTATGAACCCAATCACACACACAGACAAAATCTTCAGAAGGTCTCAGTCATTTCATGACAGACCTATTTCCAGCCTGCCTCTTGAACTACAAAACCCTGCGGGGTGGATGTGCTCTCTTGAACCAATCAAAAGGCCACCGGAAGAGCAGGGACATGGGAACTCCAGCTTAGGGGCACAGGCTGTGTGCCAGCCACAGGGCTTGAATGAACATGGCTCCTGCTGCACAAAGTGGCCTGACCATAGCCTAGCTGCTAAAAAGAAGTTCAAGGGCTACCTAGTATACGAAATTTTAAAGTGTGACCTCTGCAGTAAGGACAACAGCGTAGCACTGCATACTTTCACACTTTATGCCCATTGAACAAAAAGCTCTGATCAGTGGAGGATGCATTACGCACCTTAAAACTAACTAATAGCAATCTATGTTCCTTCTATTATAAAAACCATCAAATCAGATTTATATCTATTTTTTTCTTTAATAATTGTGCACCATTAGAAGGGAAGTCTATGGACTTTTTTTTTTTTGGGGGGGGGGAGGTAGGGGAAGATAAGAGATGTTGGGATCCACAAATACACCTGGAAAAGAGTAACCATAATCTAATGCACAGGAAAGACTTCGCACCTCACTGTCTGTTCTTCCCACAGGACACCTTTTCTGAGACACTGTTTTAAAAGGTGGGAGACTCCTTCAACTACTTGGGAGCATTATTCTAGCATTACTTGCATTGCTTTCCTTTCCTTATGATACAGATATTTGTGAACTGCTGAAAGGTCAAATTAAGAACTATACTTTCACTTTTGTAAGTTTGAAGCTCCAGATTTCCAAAATATGTACATATCAATTTTCACCAAGCATGCAGAATTCCTAACTGGCACTGCCAAGCCAATTAACTATAAGTAACTATATAGTATATTAACTATACTGCAGAGTGGTGGACAGAAAAATCAGCTATACAACAAACACCAAAGCTCTTAAGAGCTTTGATTCAGGATCAATAAAACTAAAATAAATATCTCAGTTCTTTTGCTATGTTAAGCTCACAGTGGCATTAATTCCAAAACAGCAAAGGTTATACTTGCCAAGATAAGGATCTTCTGTTTGAAATTCAGGGCTCATGTAAGTCACCAGAAAGCACGTACACCCAGGCTACAATGTGCCACCAAAGTCACACCATTTGCTATAACAAAATGATATCTTACCTGAGCTATCAGCATACTGTTGTCAGACACAATGCAACACTGACCACTGTGGTAACACGGTGAAAATAATCATTAGTTTATCAAGAAGTCCTCAGAAATACAGGCAGAAAACCACTGCTGAGTCTTGCTCCAGCAAAACATGGGGAGGGCCTGTATCTTTGCTCTGATTTTCTTATCAGATGTGATTGCATCAAAGCCCAGCAACAGTATGCTACTCAAGGGCTTACTATCTTCCCAGTAAACCTGGACTTCACCATCCCTAGCTAGGGATATTACATTAGCCATGTAGGTGATACCCAACTCTTCCAACAGTTAAATAAGTTAAAACTTTGTATCTTAGCACTGCCTCCTGGCATTTGGTCTGAGCAACACTACGCAGACTGATTGCTAAGCTCAGTGCGCAGTGCACACATGAGTATGTCTGGCACCAGGTTCAATCATCCCACTCATTTGGCTCTGAATACAGGTAGAAATCCATCTCTGAGGCTTAAGTGCAATTCTAAGTTATTCCAGCAGCTGAATGCTGACCTCCTGAGCAGATCTTCAGTAGTATCACCAGAAATACAAACCAATTATATAATTGTCTTATATTAATCACCTATACTGAACACATACTTACATGGCACAAGAATGCTGCTGGAGTACTACTAACATGAAACAAGTGAGAAGGCTAAGGCTACTCAACTATTTGCTGAAGATTTCTGCAGTGCCAACTACTGTTATGTTCAAATTTGCTTATTTAAGCTTCAAAAAAATTCACTGACCAACTTGTATCCTTTTCCCCTCCACATTGACCATTCATTTGACGTGAAATAACTTAAAGAAAGGAACTTAACAGCAATAAATATAGCCCATGAGTTTTCTGTGGGAGTTACAGACCCTCCTTTTCTATTCACCTGTTAAAATGAGTTTTTGCTGTAAAGACATCCATTCTGATATGTATATATATAATATATGTAGTATCAGTGTTAGGTATAGGCACATATCTTGATTAAAGATAGATTTTTTTCTTCTTTCAGAAAATAGACCATTGTTAGCTTTAGTAGCAGTAGTACTGGTATTCGTATAATCTTTTTTTCCCGGGTAGAGCTCATTCAGTATCCTCCAGAGGCCAGGAGAGTTTCCTCTATTCATGTATTACTTTGAAGGCCACTGTCAGAGGTCACAAAGTCACAACATGTACTGAGGGACATGCAGCTGGCATAAGAAACCAAAGGATGCTTTATGCCTCTTTGCTCCTTTTTGTCATCTAACAGCATGGGCACTAAATTAGAAACCCTTATTTTCATTAGATCTGTATTTCACACACGTGGAGATGGTAAGCGTGATAAATTAGAGAACTGAGATGATAAATTATCATTTCCTTTGCCCGCTATACTTCTGTCCCTCAATCCATCTCTCTAAGACTTGAAAAATACCAAGTGCCTCAGTATCTTTGCAGAGGTGCCCAGGGCTACAGAGACGAGCTTCACCTTTTGTTTGCTTTTTTCGCATGAAAAATGTCTCTATTTTTAAAGCTTATTACCCAGAGGACTTTTTATTATCAACATGATTTCCTTCTTAAATTATTTTCTTACCCTCCAAAAAGGAGTATGCATGAGAAGGAACTCAATTTTATTCTGATCTATTATGCACTTCCATGTGAAACAGATTTTCTGAAATGTATTTAAACCAATTTTTACTCCATGTGACCTCACTATTTGTGGTCACTGCCAGCCTGATACAAATAAGTTAATTATTGTTATATTAGGACCTTATCCATTATCTCACTGATAGCTAATCAACTCAGAAATAAAATTTTAAAGGCACTGCACTGCAGAGTTTTCCTTCTGTATACATCAAACGTTATTGTAAATTAAAGACATTCAAAAATAAAAATAAAAATAAATATTCTCGAATGTATTTCCTAATCCCAAAGCTGTTCTCATGTTATCTTAGTTGTACAGAATGACTATTCGAAGTTGCACAAGCATCATCCAACTCAATTTGTAGTTTTGAACTTTCTTTTTTTTTGATCATACTTTTGTGTTTATATGAACTCTTGCATAGAAGAATGAGAGCTTCCAGCACTATGCAGAGACTCAATTGCACTGTTATGTGTAAACATCCCAGCAGAAAGAAATATATAAAAAATTTAAAACTTAAACTATTGGACAAAATTCCAAAATATTTGGCACAAGTGCTTTTTTTTTTTTTTTTTGCTTTTTTTTTTTTTTCTTGTGTTCTCTGTAAAGCTTCCCTCTTCAGCAAATCTTTTGAATGCAATTTGCACAGAAGCACATTGTGTTACCTTTCAAAATTGCTTATATAGTTTTCTTCTGTTCAACAAAAATGTATGTAGTGAAAGAAAAGAGCAGTATCGTTCACCCAGGAACCAGGAACCATTGCTTAGACATTGCCTACATGTAAGAAAAAAAAAAAAAGTGTATTTTTCAGGGTTACTTTTATCAGAAGGTCCATTTTTTCCAAATAATTTTAGTACCTGACATTTATGGAAACAATGAACTACTTCATACTGCTAAGAAAAATTATCAGCATTGCGCAAAAATAATTGTAACCTTACGAATTCAGTGAAATAGTAACGTACAAGCATTTCACATGAAATGCCATGAGTATCTTCAGGAAAGCAACCACAAAAAAGCCTTGCAATGATATCCTGAAGAGACAGACATTTTAATCAGTGATACAAGCACATTTAACCAATTTTTTTTTTTCATTTCTTCTAAGCTTATGCCAACTAAAAACACACAAAAATCTGTGGCACTAATAATAGCAAAACGGTTGTGGAGATGTAGAAAGTTCAAAGTTTTTGTTGTTCCTTGTAACTGTTTATACAATTTTGGGCACAAAGTTATTTCACTCAACTTATGAGGAAGCACATACACGTTATTATTGATCAAGTCCTGAATCATCCAACTTTCATCTCTTATGTGGTTTGTGTAGATGCAGAACGTGGGGATTTTGGGGCTTTTAAAGGATTGTGAGAAACCACTACTATGGAGAACTTTGGCAAAGTTAAAAAATAAAGAGAACAAAAAAATCAACTTGGGATTATTACAGTTGAAAAATCTTTAAGGCATGGCAGTGATAGAACACAATATCTCCATCAAAATTTTGGCCTGAAAGGTAAAGATCAGATTTTGATCTAATATCCAATATCTAATAACTACACTGACATCAACTGTGTGTTTCTGAGAAAATAAATAAATTTAATTTTTTAATATTAATTTACATTTAAGCTAGTGTAAACACAAATGTCCCACTAAAAGAAGACATGAGACATCACAATAAATAAAGTTCACCAGATTTGTGTGTTTATGATTTCAAGCTTGTGTTACCTGCATACCCAGTGGTTAAAATGTAGTTCTGCCTGAGTATTGAAGATTTGAGGTTACCTCTGCCAGAAAAACATTTCTGAGAAGAAAAACTGCTTACATCCCATGTAAAAACTGAGGGCCAGATCCTATCTGATGGTTCAACAGAATAAAGGCAGAACCTGTGTAGCTCTATGGTATGAAATTATCCAGCATTTCTGTAGAAAACAAAACAGCTTTAAAATTCTGTTGACAGAATATACAGCCATACACCTAAGTTATCCAAATGTGCAGAGCTGTGAAAACATTCAAGTAGAAGTTGTATAAAAAGCAAAAATTGTCACAAAAAAGAATTTTGCCGTTTGTACAAAGCAACGTTCCTTCCCTTCAATTTGTTTTCCTTCAGTTTTCATTTTTATCCTAAATTTAAAAATTAGTCAACACACTGAATTAAGTATGTAGATTTTCATTTAAATAAGTCAGTCAACAATTTTTTTTATAAAGTATTTAACACTTCATTGTAGAAACATAGGCAAAATGACTATTATAACCAAAATGAAAAATACTGTTCCATCTAAAAAAATGTACTTAAACAAGAACCTGAAAAAGTTTATGATATGCATAACATTGTTCAAGCAAAATTGCACTAGTATTACATAAATCAGGAGTTTTATAAAGGCCCCAATATGGCAAAGTTTAGAAATAGGTAGTATGCATGCACAATAGTACAACAAAAATCTTATAAAACAGCAGTTATTTTTGTAATGCTTGTACAAAGGGAAGAAAGAGCAACCACAAACATATTTAATCTGTTAGGTTAATATATTATGATAACTAAAAGTCAGTCACGTCTAGCAGAGGAAGGAAGAATCCTCCACTGTATATGTGTGAATCAGTCTTTTGTGCCTTTAAATTTATGTATAAAATACTTTGATTCAGTTCAAACCTGAAAGACATTGTATTCTTTATTTTCATGAAAATTAAAAAAGTTGAATCAGATCTTTCTTCTTATCAACAACAAAAAACAAACCAGGTCAGAGCAAGTGCTGAAAACCAATACTGAGAATTACTCCTGATAGCTGGATTGCTATATTGAACCCAGACTATTGAAACTCAGACCTAGGTAAGGATTAACTACTCTGTCATTTGGTTATGGTTTATCTTATCAATATCACAGTTCATTTTCATTTAAAGAAACTGCAGTATTTTGGATTCCTTAGTATCTCTAAACAAGTGTGACTTTTTTGTGGTGGTCAAAACCGAATGCTGTGAGTGTGTGTGTGTGCTTAAGGTGTTTTTTGTATCTATTTCTTTTTCCCCCTACTGCTTGGTACATGTTTGGGGAATTAACAATCCATAAGTAATGCATGAGATTAAGTGAATAAACATATAATGCATGTGTAGGCAATGCCCTCTTGTGCTCTAGGGTGGCTACTGTCCTACAGGACTGTTGGAGTTCATATGCTTTGTCCCACAGCAAGTAAGGTTTCAGCTTCCAAGATATATTGTTACTATGTTCTATAAGGTTTTAATAAATACAAAGCTTGTTTACATGGTATATATGTTTAGTATATCATGTACAGTCACTGAATTTCTGAAACATAATCATTGTGTTCATGCAGATCATTAGATGTTTCATTTCTATAGTCTTGCTTACTTCTTGACAACCTAAAGCTAATTTAAAAGCAAGTAATGTTGGTTTGTGAAAAAGTTAACTAGCTTCATCAGAATCTGAAGAGAAATTCTAATGGGCACAAAGAGAGTAGACCATTCAATCATTCTTTCACCATTTAAAATAAACAAAGTTACACACTGTACTACAGCTTCCAGACTACATAATGAAAAAGTGCAAATACCATCTTCATTGATTAAGTAGAACCAAAAAAGTTCATAGAAAATAGATTGCTCATTTTCACGCTACAAACAAATATGTTGTTTGCAATTTTAACAAATTTAAAGGTGTGTTATTTCAGCAGCATTGTTGTAAATTGTACTGTAGTGCAGTTTCTTTATCATAAAAATACCTTACAAATGGTCAGTCAAAAGTCATCAGCAAAAGAAAAACTCAGAAAACAATCAACAGAACA